CACGGAGCAACAATACCGATCCTGGAAGAAGGAGCACGACGCCGCGGCCGCCGCCCTGGACGAGCGTGAGGAGAAGCTCGAGGCTGTGGCGGAGACGATCGAGCAGGATCTGTACCTCCTGGGCGGTACTGCCATTGAGGATCGCCTGCAGGACGGTGTCCCGGACACGATTGCGATACTGGGCGATGCCGGCATCAAGCTTTGGGTGCTGACGGGCGACAAGGTCGAGACCGCGATCAATATTGGGTTCTCCTGCAATCTTCTCAACAACTCGATGGACCTCATCCACCTCAAGATCGACGAGAGCGATGGTGTGGAGGTGAACGAGGAGACCATGTATGAGCAAGCGGAAAAGGAGCTGGACCGGTACCTGCACGCGTTCGGCATCGAGGGAAGCGACCAGGACCTCAAGGCCGCCATCAAGAACCATGAGCCGCCCCCGCCAACGCACGGTCTGGTGATTGATGGGTACACCCTGCGCTGGGTCCTCGATGAACGTCTTAGGCAGAAGTTCCTGCTGCTCTGCAAGCAATGTCGCTCGGTCCTGTGCTGCCGCGTCAGTCCGGCGCAGAAGGCGTCTGTGGTAGCCATGGTGAAGAACGGTCTCGACGTCATGACCCTGTCGATTGGTGATGGCGCCAACGACGTGGCCATGATCCAGGAAGCCGACGTGGGCGTCGGCATCGCCGGTGTGGAGGGTCGCCAGGCGGCCATGTCGTCCGACTATGCGATTGCGCAGTTCCGCTTCCTGCAGCGTCTGGTCCTCGTCCACGGCCGCTGGTCTTACCGTCGGCTGGGCGAGAGCATCAGCAACTTCTTCTACAAGAACGTTGTGTGGACGTTTGCCATCTTCTGGTGGATGATCTACTGCCACTTTGACATTACGTACCTCTTTGACTACAGCTACATTTTGCTCTTCAACGTCGTCTTCACGTCGGTGCCCGTCGGCCTAATGGGCGTGTTTGACCAGGATGTCTCGGACAAGGTCTCGCTCGCGGTGCCGCAGCTGTACCGCCGTGGCATTGAGCGTCTCGAGTGGACACAGGTCAAGTTCTGGTGCGTATTTTCTGTTTGAGTTTTGTCCTCCAACAGCTCGCTGACAACCAGCAGGCTGTATATGTCCGATGGGCTGTACCAGTCGGTCATCTGCTTCTTTGTGCCCTACCTCTTCTTCCAGGCCGCCCGCCCTGTGACCGACAACGGCCTGGACATTGCGGACCGCATGCGTCTGGGCGCGTACGTGGCGCACCCCGCCGTCTTTGTCATCAACGGGTACATTATGATGAACACGTACCAGTGGGACTGGATTCTTCTGCTCGTGGTGTTCATCAGCGACATGTTCATCTTCCTCTTCACCGGCATCTACACATCCATCGAGAGCGCGTCCGGCTTCTACTACCACGCGGCCGCCGAGGTGTATGGCGAGGCGTCGTTCTGGGCAGTGTTCTTCCTGGTGCCCATCATGTGCCTCTTCCCGCGGTTCGCGATCAAGTCGGTGCAGAAGGTGTACTTTCCGTACGATGTCGACATTATCCGCGAGCAGGAGCGGCTCGGCATGTTCAAGCATCTGTCGTCGACGCCCCTAGACAAGGAGGTTGTGGGCGACCACAAGACGGCCGGCTCAGCGTCGTCCTCGAATAGCTCCAACCACAACAACAACAAGAAGCCCAGGCACCAGGTCTTTGGCAGCGTCGACGAAGACTTGCGGCCAATTTACCCCCCGTCGACGGCAACGCGAACAACGACGCACCAGCATAGCCAGAACAACAGTGATTCGACGGGCTACACAATGAACCGCATGTCGCTGGAGGTGCCCGGGCAGCAGGGGCAGCAGGGGCAGCAAGGGCAGCAAGGGCACCGCGCGGGCCGGCCGTCCCTCGACCGGGTGCGGCCGTCGTATGATCGCATACGCGCCTCGATGGACCAAGTGCGACCGAGCTTCGAGGCGAGCAACGACTTTACGTCGGCGGCGCGGCTGTCGCGGATCGAGTCGTCGCACTCGGCGATCGGACGGTTCCGACCGCGGCTGCGCGGGCTGTCGTTGACCAAGAGCGCGCACAATTAGCGATCGTTCAAGCGTGGCATGTCACGACCGCACACCTACATTATGATGAATAGCAACACCAACAACAACTACTACGACCGTGGCCATCACCACCACCCACATCTCATCGACGACGATGACAGCGACTGAGTCCTTTTTGTCAATTTACAACACTTGAGATACCATTGCGCAACAGCATCGATATACCACGTGGTCCTAGGACGGGCCACTCCTTTTCCTGTCTGCTTCGCCACACTTCTGAGAAGTCTTTTTGCTTTCTCCTTTGGAGGATGCTGCATCGGCATGCATTCACGATCTGCATGAATTCATCGTCTACGAGCTGCCGCATAATCCAGCTGAGGCCTCTCGTCACAGACGAAGAGTCAAGCAACGCTGGAAAAAGAAAACCACAAGATACACGCAAAGCCTCTGCGTAGGGGCGTTCCACCTCACAGGGGACCCTGGGAGAAGCCACCGGGGCCTACCGCACGAATCTGATTTTTTTGCTTGGGGAGTTTGGCAGTTCTATTACGGCATTGTAGAGGCTGAGTTTCGGAGTCACTCACTTTTTTTTTCCTGCGTCAATTTCGAGTATCTGGTCAATGAGGGATGGATGGACGAGGTCAGGAGTAGGAAGAGGTGAAGGATATAGATACCGGGGCTGTACATAGAAGGCGTCCATCCATACAATAGCTATTCTTGGAGATGAACAAGGCTCTTACTGACCAGCGGCCTATGACTTTGACTTATATAATCATGTACGTGAATGAATCGCGTGATGTCGAGGTGCATGTCTTGGCCTTGGCAGGGGTTGTCGCGATGCGGGACCCACTTGCGACTCCAACTCCAAAGTGAAGATATCGCGACCTCCCCTGCTCTGCTCTTCCATTTACATCCCTCCGTCCACCAGACCACCAACGACGCGTCACTCTTCACTCTGTTTGAGGACACAGTCTGATCATCTTCCACAATGGACACACCCGAACGCGAGGAGCCCTTCCTACTCACGCTGTGGCGTGACTGGGGTGACTACATGCAGACAAGCCTCAACATCCCGTGATTACGTCCCAGCTGCATGCACCATACCATCAGAAACTGACACTGAACCAGCCTCCATGTCGTGCAGATTGCCAGCACTGTCATCGCTCTCGGATTCAGCGTCGTGCTGATCCGCGCCGCCAACGCCGCCGCGATAGCCACCGCTAACGGTCCGAAGCGCTACACCATCCCCCCACCGAAAGCACCCCCGAACAACGGCAAGGAGACGGTCGAGGAGGCCACCACCAAGCTCCCCGGCAGCTCCGCAATCCAGTGCTACGCGCCCGCCACGGGCCAGCTGCTGGGCCTCGTCAACCCGTCCACGCCCGAGGGCATCGACCGCGCCATCGCGGCTGCCGAGGCCGCCCAAGTCCAATGGCGGACGACGACATTTGAGCAGCGACGCGCCGTGCTCCGCACGCTGAAGCGGTACGTCATGGACAACGCGCACGAGATCTGCCGCGTCGCGGGCCTGGACAGCGGCAAGACGCTCGTGGACGCGCAGCTGGGCGAGATCCTGGTGACGGTTGAGAAGCTCGAGTGGACGATCCGCCACGGCGAGCGGGCGCTGCGACCGTCCGCGCGGCCGACGAACCTGCTCATGGCGTACAAGCGGAACAAGGTCGTCTACGAGCCCATGGGCGTTGTCGCCGCCCTCGTCAGCTGGAACTACCCCTTCCACAACCTCATTGGCCCCGTCATCAGCGCCCTCTTTGCTGGCAACGCCATTGTCGTCAAGGTCTCCGAGAACACGGCCTGGTCGAGCGCGTACTTTGCCAATGTCGTCCGCGGCGCCCTCGTCGCTCACGGTCATGACCCTGCCCTCGTCCAGACCGTCGTCTGCTGGCCCCAGACGGCGGGCCACCTGACGGCGCACCCCAGCATCAGTCACGTCACGTTCATCGGCTCCCAGTCGGTGGCGCACCACGTCGCGACCAGCGCGGCCAAGAGTCTGACCCCCGTGGTGCTCGAGCTCGGTGGGAAGGACCCCTTTATCGTGCTCGACTCGGCGGCCAAGGACCTCACGCGCATCGTGGAGATTATCCTGCGAGGCACGTTCCAGGCGTCCGGGCAGAACTGCATCGGGATCGAGAGGGTGATTGCGAGTGGTGCCGTATACGACGCGCTGGTGGCCAAGCTGGAGCCTCGTGTCAAGGCCATTCGTCTGGGTCCCGACGCGGACATGGGCGCCATGATCTCGGACGCGTCCTTCTCGCGACTCGAGGAGGCCATTGCAGAGGCCGTCTCGCAAGGCGCCCGTCTCCTGGCCGGTGGCAAGCGGCACGCGCACCCCGAGTACCCCAAGGGCCACTATTTCCTGCCGACGCTGCTGGTCGACGTGACGCCCACGATGCGCATCGCGCAGAACGAGTGCTTCGGTCCCATCTTGACGCTCATGCGAGCCCCGTCGTCGTCGGCAAAGGACATGCTGGCGATTGCAAACGCGCCCAACTTTGGCCTCGGCGCGTCGGTGCACGGTTCGGAGCGCGACCCGGCCCTGCAGGCGGTTGTGTCAGGGCTCAAGGCAGGCATGGTGGCCGTCAACGACTTTGGGGCGTACTACGCCGTGCAGCTCCCCTTTGGCGGCGTCCGGGGGTCAGGCTACGGACGGTTCGCGGGCGAGGAGGGCTTACGGGGGATGTGCAATATGAAGAGCATTATTGAGGACCGCTTTGGGTGGCTGGGTGTGCGGACGGGGATCCCACCGGCGGTGCAGTACCCGGTGTCGGAGCAGGAGACGGGCTGGCAGTTTGCGCAGGGCGTGGTGGAGGTGGGCTATGGTGGTCTGGGGAGGAAGGCGGGCGGCGTGGGGAGGATACTGCGGAATATGTAGGCGGCTCTGGCCCCAAGGCTACATTTGTAATGACTGATGCTATGATTTGGTGTGTATATACTCTATGGGGGTTGGGGGATGGTATCAGCTGCCCGGGATGACTCGGGCGTCGACGACAGCCGTCGTGCCCGCCTTGACCTTGTCCACGGCGTCCCTGAGCACGGCCTCGAGCTCGCTGGCCTGGGTGACCTTGAAGGCGTGGATGTCACCGGCGCCGGCGGCGCGCGCGATGCCGGCGTAGTCGGGGGTCGGGTGGAAGGAGATGTTGAGGTCCTCGTTGCTGACCTGGGCGCCCTCGCCGTCGGGGTGGAGGAGCTGCAGGGAGACGCGGGGCGCGTTCCAGCCCTTGTTGTTGAGGACGACGGTCAGGACGGGGATGTTGTACCGCCGCGAGATCCAGTAGACGCTGCCGGGCACGCTGAAGAGGTACGTGCCGTCGCCGACGACCTGGCAGACAAACTTGGCCTTCCCCTGCTTGTCGGTGGCGAGCTTGATGCCGAGGGCGGCGCCGCCGGACCAGCCGAGGCCGCCGCCGCCGCAGTTGATCCAGTGGCCCGGCGCGGTGGGACGGACGTTGCTGTGGATGTGGCCCGAGTTGGTGACGGCCTCGACGGCCCAGATGGTGTCGTCCGGGCAGACGGTGGCGAGGGTCTTGCTGAGGAAGCCGGTGCCAAAGGAGCCGTCGGGATGAGGCTGGGCGGCGCGTCGGATGGCGTCGAGGCGGGCGTCAAAGGCGGCCTGGCGGGCCTGGGCTTGCTGCGTCTTGACCTGCGTGGACGGCTGGGCGATGGTGTTTAAGGTGAGCTGGGCGTTGAGCTGCTCCAAGGTGGCGAGGGCGTCGGCGCGGTAGCGGGCCTCGGCGGGGATGTAGAAGAGCGGCATGCCCTGCTTCAGGGGGTCAATGTCGACGTGGAAGATGCGGGCGTCGTCGCGCGGCTTGCAGAGGGTCGGGACCCAGGGGACGTCGCAGTGCAGGACGAGTATGACATCGGCCTGCGGGATGGCGTCGTCGGGCTGGCCCTGCTTGATGCCGAGGCAGGCCGGGTGGTCGCTGGGGAAGGACATGTCGCTGCCGGCGCCGTCGAGGACCTGGAGGGCGGGTATGGCGTCGGCGAGGGCGACGAGCTGGGCGGGACAGGCGAGGTTGCGGCCCGAGTAGCCGGTGATGACGAGCGGCCTTGACGCGGAGGCGAGGGCCTGGGCGATGGTGAGGGCGGCCGTGCCGGGGAGCGCGCCCATCTCGACGGGCCGCCAGTGGTCCTGCTGGATGGTGTAGGGTTCCATCTCGGCCTCCATGACCTCGCGGGCGGCGACGAGGTAGGCGGGGCCGGCCGGGTCGCTCCGTGTGAACTGCAGGGCGCGGTTGACCATCTGCTTGATGTTGAGCGGGGTCTTGACCTCGGCGGCGTAGCGGCAGTACTGGCCGAGGATGGCCTTTTGGTCGGGGACGTCCTGGAGCCAGTGGATGAACTCGGTGCGGGAGCCGGGCAGCTCGCCCTCGCAGGTAAAGGGGGAGAGGCCGGCGAAGACGAGGACGGGGCAGCGCCCGACCGAGGCGTTGTGGACGGCCACGCCGAGGGCCTGCGTGCCGACGTCGACGTGGACAATGACCACCTGCGGCTCGCCGGTGACGCGGGCGTAGCCGTCGGCCATGGACATGGCGACCATCTGGGGGATTAGCAGCCACTGAGTAGGAGGAGACATGGGGGGCGCACCTCGGACGGGCAGGTGATGATGCGCGGGAACTTGTGTTTGAGCGCCGGGTCGCGCTGGCTGCGCACAATGGCCTCCATGATGGCTGGGTGGTCCGAGCCCAGGTTGACAAAGGCGTGGGAGACGCCCGCGGCCGCGAGGGCCTCGAAAAAGGCCGTCGACGCGGTGTAGGCGGGCTTTCGTGGCATCTTGGTGTTGGTGTTTGGGGGGGGGGGGAGTGACGAGGGAATGAGGTTGGTCGTGAGAGTCGAGCCCACGCAACGCGGCAGCACGATGGGCGATGAGAGGTCGTTTTGCCCGCTGCGAGCTAGGCCACAATCAATGAATGAGCAATCAGACGCAGGCCAAGGATCGAGGCTCGAGCACACAGCTGCTGGAAGGGGGCCAGGGTTCATGGGACCTGCGGCTGCGGGCGGGCAGCAAGCAAGCAAGCCAAGAGGGACAGCGGTGGAGATGATTTGGAATGGGGCCGCGGGTCTCCAAAGGATCGCCGGACGCATGAATGGGTGGGTCGAAGAGCGGCAAGTTGGTGGAGGATGTGCTTGAGTGGCGTGAGGAGTTCAGGGCGTGAAGGGGGGGGAAGAGAGGAGGAGTCTCTTCTACGGGCAGCTGAACTTTGAGCAGGCGAGGAGAAAGCTTTGCTAACATTGTGTGGAAAGTCATTGAAAGGGCTTTGCCAGGAGGGCCGGAATCAGGAGAGCCATGCCATGCCAGGCTATTATCGTCTATCTTGGTATCGACCAGCCAGAACGCTCGAAATATACAGCAGAGCCAAGCCTGGGCTGCGCGTGCCTCTGCACCTCTATCCACGTCTCCTCCGCGCCATAATAAACCGTCCCTCATCTCCAAGACCAGACCCGTCTCACAGGGTAAAGCGGAAACTGGGATGCGAGTCGCCCTGGTTGATGAGATCCTCCTGGGGCAGGACGAGGCGCTCATCGCGCTCGCCACGCTCCCTCTTCTTGTTCTCGCGCCACATGAGGCCCGCCATGGAGGCGGCACACGCGAAGCCCACCCACATGAAGGCGAGGGCGACGCTGTAGCCAGTGGTCCAGATGGGGGCCTCACTCTTGAGGAAGATGTTGCCGCCAATGATGCCGGCAATGTTGCCAATGGTGACCTGCGTAGAAGACGCAAAGGAGCGCTTCCAATGGCCCGACATGTTGTTCTGGACCCAGCCGAGGCACATGGGGGTCACCATGTAGGCGCCGCCAAAGATGGGGAAGATGGCGCCAAACTTGTAGTCACGCGACTTGCCCTCCTGGCCGAGCAGCATGCTGTAGCCAAGGGTGACCATGGCGGTGCCCGCGACGAAGAAGCCGAAGCGGTGCTTGAGGCGGTCCGACAACCAGGCAGAGAACAGCATGCAGAAGCCAGCGAAGACGTAGATGGGGATGGTGCGGACCTGGGCCTCCTCGGCCTTCCAGCCAAACTCGAGCAGGATGGTGGGCAGGAAGAAGGTGCCCGAGAGACCAGGGACGGAGACGCCCATGTAGAGGAAGGCCCCCAGCCAGATCTTGTAGTCGCGCCAGATGAGACCCCAAGAGAAGCGGTTGAGAGTGTCCATGCGGCTGGCATCGCCCATGTCGAGAGCCATGCGGCGGCGGAGCAGCTCCTTCTCGTCCGCGTTGAGGAAGCGCGTCTGCTCGGGCCAGTCGATGACGAGGAAGCTGGCGGCGATGGCCAGCAGGGCCGTGGCGGCGCCCTCAATGATGAAGATCCAGCGCCAGGAGCGCAGACCGGCCATGCCGTCCATGTTGGCGATGCCGTAGGCGAGCAGACCACCAAAGGCGCCGGCGACGACGGTGGAGCAGAAGAAGAAGCTCATGCGCTTCTGGTACTCGTGGCGCTTGTAGTACATGGAGGTGACGTAGATGATGCCCGGCAGCACGCCGGCCTCAAAGATACCGAGCATGAAGCGCAGAGCAACCAGAGCCTCGTACGACTGCACGAAACCCATGCACATGTTGATGAGGCCCCAGGTGAACATGAGGCCCGACAGGTACAGCGAGGGCCGCATCTTCTTGATGATCATGTTGGAGGGGATCTCGAGCAGGATGTACGAGACGTAGTAGATGAAGAGGGCGACGTTGAAGCGGTGGCCATCGAGGTTGATGTCCTCGCCCATGTGCTGGATCTTGGCATTCGAAATGTTGATGCGGTCCAGGAAGGACATGAGGTAGATGACGAAGAAGACGGGGTAGATGGTCAAGTCCAGCTTGCGCACCAGCCTGCTCTCGGCCTTGGGGTCGATGGGCGGCAGCTCATGGTCGTTGCCGGCGGCGGCGGAGGAGGAGCCGTCCGTCTTGGGCGTGCTCGGCACCGCCGTCTCGTCGACGACGGCGTGCTTCTCCTCAATGGTGGTCATGATGGGCAAAGCTGTGTCGCTGTGAGAGAGAAGACGGACAGACGGACAGACGATGAGTGCTAGTGAGGCTACAACTGGCGAGGCAAAGGGAGAGATGGGCAAAGGGATTGAGGGTCCCCTGCGTGTTATATGGATGGGTCGGGCAGATCGACGCGCATGGTGGTGGTGGTGGTGGTGGACTGGCTGTTGGTGGCAAAGAGCGACGGCCTTGGTTGAACCAGGGGGTGGATGTCGAGGTGCAGTTCGGCTCGGTGGGTACAGCCGATGCAGAGAGGACAAATGAGTGATCAAGGAGAAGCTGCTGCTGGCTGGATGGACCCTGGACGGACGCAGCTGGGGTCGTTTGTCGTCGGGCCAAGGCGCAGAGTCTAGAGAGGAGAGGAGGACCAAAGGATGGCCTCGGATGATGGATGGGACACGGCTGTCGTGGGCGAGGGCGATATTCAGATTCCAGAACGAGGGAGCAACCAAACTCGACATCAATTGACGGCACGCGAGAGGGAATGGCGCAGGGACGCGTCCAGGGGAGAATCAGATCCCACGAGGGCAGCACCATGTCTGTCTGTCTGTCTGTCTGTCTGTCTGTCTCGCAGCTCGTCTCGCACTCTCCCCATGCAATGGCTCGCGTCTCGATTCTCACCTCTATCCGGTGGTGCTGCTGTCCATCTCTTCACGCGGGGATGGCTGGCTGGCGTCGCATCGACTACAGTATCCGTAGGCGAGAAGGAGATCCCTGGATGCGCTTATGCAGTCGAGGGTGGACCTTGATACCAGATCCTGCATCCCAGGCCACTCAGTGTTCAATCGGCCTCGGTGCCGTGAAGTCGTTACAAATTTCTGGCATCGAACGAGATTGGAACGAGCTCTTGGCGTCTGGCGGCCCTGGCCCTGGCCCTGGCCCTGGAATGGCGTTCTCGTCCTCGTGAAGGAGGACTATCAAGGACTGACTGGCGTGCAGGGGCCTGCCAGGGCTCACTGCTCCATATAGTACATGTAATATCAGGGAGACAGACACACAAGCTAGAATCGAGGACACGAACCCGATGCTGCTTCGAAAACGTGTTTGCCATGCATGTGCATGTCTGCCCAGGAAGGGTCTGTCTCGCATCCGTTGGTTCAGACTGAAACACCATGAATTAGTTCATTGCCGTCCGTTATGCAGATGGAACCCTCCTCCTCCTCCTCCTCCTCCTCCTCCTCCTCCTCCTCCCGATGAAGATTCATCGACAGACTACTACATACAGCACGGTGGACAGCGGCATTTGGGAGAATAGGATGGACAATATTGCCTCCCGGCTCGGTCACCCGGTCGTCCCCGGCTGGGCGTGATCAATCGCTTTCGACTGCAGTCCGCCGTGAGTCCACCGCCCAGGCAGGGGCGGATCTCGCCAGGAGGAGGAGTCCAGGACAGATATCCGTCGCGCTCTGAGTGAGGATCAATCTGCGCTCGGCCTCTCCACCCCAGCCAGTTCAGGACAATTCCTTTCAATTTGAAACCCTTTTCATTTGGACACCGAGCCAGTGCCCATCTGCGAACCACTCGTTGCATCCCACTGCAGTAGTAGTTACATTTGCGAGCTGATGATGCGGATGGACACGATGGAGTCGCTACCACGGACCCATGCTGCTCTGGCGACTTCCGTCGGTCCTTTTCCTCCTCTGCGACGATTTGCAAGGCTAAACCAGGCCGCTAGCCAGGCCAGGCTAGTGCTAGTCTGCGTCCTTTTGACTCCTCTCGAAACGGGGCCGCGTCCGTCTCCGTCTGCGGGCGAGTGGGGGAGAGTCCGACGGGAGGGGGGACTCGAGCACTCGAGGGCAGGCAGGCCCCTGACTGTGGACTGTGGACTGTGGACTGTGGACAAACAAAAAATCAATCAAGCGACGGACGGGGCTTGCTCCCGGGCGATCCTCTCGCGGTGGCTTGCAAATCATCCGCCTGCCCGCCCATTTTTATCCGCTTGGCCAGCGAGCGAGAGCCTCGACTTGACGTCTGGTGCGGAGGGAATGAATTGAACGAGGGGGGGGGGGGGGCCTCTCATTCCCTTGAAGCCCTGGTGAGCCCAAAGTCAACATGTTGTCAGACAGCCTTGTTCAAGTCAGTCAGTCAGAGCAACGGCATGGATCCTGTCACATTCGATTTCTTCAGCGGCTGGGGGCCAAGATCGCGCACACCCCCCAGCGATCCGGATGAGCCAGACCGCATGAGGAAAGGAAATGCAGTGAGGGACCGACCACACAGGGAACCAACAGCAGCCCTCGTCATGTTCTTTCTGGGTTGGTTGGTTCGTTTGTGCAAATGCTTTCCGTCCCTCTGCACTGCAGCAGCAGCTGATGCTCCTTGCCCGCCCGACCCCCAACGGAGACCCAACGGGGAAGAGATCCGCGCTCCACGTCCGAAGACCTCGTCGACTGTCGACGCGCGCATCTCACGACGCGCATTAGCGTTCGATGCCCGTCCAGGGCGCATTCCAGGCACCACTGACCATTGACCATTGACCATTGACCATTGACCATTGACCACTGACCACTGACCAGTTGCCATCCATGGCTGGAGCCGACGGATGGATCCCCTCGGCGCAATCGATTCCCCATCGTCCAGGTCCAGGGCCAGGGCCAGGGCCAGCTCACCGGAAGCTTTGACCTGTTGCTTCCTCCAAGCAAAGAAGAACGACCAGATGCGGCTCGAGATGCGGCTGACCCTGGGGGCAGGGAGACTGCGCGATCAGCAAGGCGCGTCCTTGCCTCCTTGGCGCCTATACACGTAGCACGAACGTACGTCTGTGCCATCCTGTCCCGACGAGATTGAGTTTTGACAAGCACACCACCTTGGTCTTCACATGCCCACTATGTAGCCCGGCACTGCACGGTGGGATACCCACATTGCCCGTCTGAGAATAAACCACGACCCTGGCCCGCGGACTCATTGGCCGGCCTCCCTGCAGGCCCTGCCATGGATCGGCCGTCAAGCGGGAGGGACTTGTGTGGAAGACGGACACCGCTTGTGAAGCTGCGAACCAAGTACGTACGTACGTAGCATCCAAAGGAAGTAGCGTGTCCTCACGCCCGCACTGGCGTCTTCTACGGTGATAGACGGGCACCGCGTGGCGATCAGCAAGCAGACTGGACAGATCTCCTCAGGCCGATCGAGGAAATGCTGGCCCACGGAGCCAGAACAGACTGCGTGTCACGCCTCGTGTTGGGACCACTGTAGCTACTACTTCTTCGGCTTCTGAACCGACGGAGATGAAGACTGGACCAAGGGCGGAAGAGAGGGAACGTGTGACCACGTACTGACATTACGCGTGGATAATCTCTGCGTCTTCCTCGGCGGGACTGCACTCCTCCCCTGCTTGGGACCCCGTCCTTCTAAAGTCAGAATCGAGCTGTGATCAGCGCCTCGGCTCCGTTCCACCGCCAGAGATCCGTTGCTGAACATGTCCGACGGCCAACCAGCCATCTGTTGATCCGTACGGCGCCTAAGCGTCCATGATCTTGCATTGGCGCATCGACAGGATGATGTGACACGGAATGGTAGCGTTCCTTCTCGTTGCCTTCTCTCCAAGATCCCTTCTCTCTAAGAGACATTCTTCCATAGGCTACTGTGCTCCTTCGCTCAGATCTTCACTAGTTCTTTCTCGGCGCACGTACTGCCCTCCTGGGCCGCTGGAAACCCATCCCACCCCTGAGCGAGACACCCACGGACGGGTCTCGCTAGATGATACGGATGGACTGTGCAAGATACACCAGGGCCCTCCGCGCACGCGATGCTATTTGAGCCCTGCCGAACCCTCTCCCCCCGCCCTCTCCCCCTCGGATCCCATCACTCAACGCTCTTTTGACTTGCACGAGACAACGGGATCGACACAGACAACAGCGCACACGACTACGGCCCGTGGTGAAGAGGGACGGCCCACCCCACTCCAGACAGCACAGTCAAGTAGTCACTCACCATCATGTCTGGCAAGACCATGAGCACAGAGGGCCTCGACCCCAACGACAGCAACGTCCACCTCGTGTATATCCCCGCCGCGGTCTTTGTCATCATATGTCCCGTCCTCGTCGCCCTGCGCGTGTGGGCGCGTCTACGGGGAGGTGGTAGCATGGGCCCCGATGACTACGCTGCCATTGCGGCTCTGGTGAGTCTACATGAAAGAAGCCACATCTCGAGGGGGGGGGCACCTTGGACTAACGGACGACCAGATCTTCGTGCTCCTCCTGAGCGGCTTTCTCGTGGCCGGTAAGCTCTTCTCCCCCCCAGCAGAGTGACACACGCCCGGTCTAATATCTTTGCAGCCTGCCAGTATGGCATGGGGAGACACATGGCCTTCCTCGAGCCCGAGGTCAAGTACGAGACCATGAAGTTCTTTTACCTCGCGCAGGTCGTCTACAAGGCCGCCATCAACCTCTCCAAGGTCTGCATCCTGCTGCTCTACATGCGCATCTTCAACAAGATCCGCTGGTTCCGCTTCGCCTGCTGGGCCCTGCTGGGCTGCGTCGGCAGCTACATGGTCGCCTCTGTCTTTGCGACCATCTTTCAGTGCGCGCCCATTGAGCGCTCCTTTGACAAGTCCATCGAGGGCACCTGCGTCGACAACAGCCAGTTCTGGTACGCCAACGCCGGCTTCTCCATCGCCACGGACGTGATCATCCTGCTGCTGCCCATGCCGCTCGTCTACCAGCTGCAGGTCCCCTGGCCGCAAAAGGTGGCCCTCATGGCCGTCTTTGCCCTCGGCATCTTCGTCGTCGTCACCTCGTGCCTGCGCGTCACCACCCTCGACATCCTCGCCACCACCCCGGACACCACCTACGACATTGCCAACGTCATGTGGACCATTATCGAGCCCAACATCGCCGTCGTCTGCGCCTGCCTGCCCATCCTGCGACCCTTTATCGTCAAGCTCATCCCCATGCTGCGCAGCAAGGGCTACTCCAACAACCCGTACGCCACACCCGGCTACGGCATCGGGACGCACAAGTCTCGCGGCCTCGGCACCCAGGTCGGCGGCACCCAGGTCCGCGGTGGCGGTGGTGACGATGATGCGCACTGGGTTGAGATTGGTGGCGGCAAGAATGACGGCATGGTCATGACCACCATGCAGAGGAACAACTCGGTCGCTGGCAGCCAGGACAGCATCCTCGGCGGCAAGACGGCCAACGACACCATCCATCACGGGGCTGGCAATAGGAACAGCGACGGGCACGAGGGGATCCAGAAGACGGTGGAGTACACGGTGCAGTATTCGAATAAGGACTGATGCCTGGGCCGCGGCTTTGTATGTTGGGGTTGATAGATGCTGCGACTGCTGATACCACACGTTCTGCGTGACTAGATATGTATATTGAAGTCCATCTGGAGCGTCACGTTCCCACTTGAATGTATCCCCCCAATGCCCGCCCACTCTGGTATGGACCAACTCTTTGATATCCATCTGTGGCGTATCTCTTGCCACGGCGTTCACAGCTGCCTCTCATGTCTTCAAGTCTACCCAAATTCGCCTCAAAGCTGACCTTGCACTGACTCGTACTTCCAAAGCGCAGAAGCCTAACGGTGAAGAGGGCGAGAGCCGCGACAGGCGCATCTATCCAAAGGCAACCCCTGTCACGAGAAGTAGGGTGTCGAGTCTAACACCCGCGCGCAACTAACTGCTTCCATCCAAAGGCCGCATAATAATCTGGGCCATGGCTCGGTTCGAGTCTCTCCATATGGATCCATAATTATCCACGGCTCGCTCGTTTGTTTCAAGATATCCTTGTCCCCCTGCGGTTATCACCCTCGCTTTCCTCAACATGATACGATCAGCCCTCCTTCATACTTAGTCAATCTTCTCGCCAAGACAAGCATATTATTCGCATCGTACCATGTTTCTAGCTGTAGCTGCTGCGCATACCGTGACCGGACAGGCACGGCACACACACCAAGTACACATCATGCATGCACGCTGCATCGGGGAAGCAGCAAGGCAACCAACCAACAGACGGCACTTGTCCCAGCTGCCTGGTCTGAAGGGGTGAGCTGAAGATTTTTTGATTTTTTTTAATTTTTGTTTTCTTGGCCCTCCCTCTTTCTGCTTTCGTGTCTGCCTGCGCAAGCGTGACGGTCAGATTGTTGAGTATTGTGGTGCCCTGCGCGGCTGGCTGTAGGCTTCTTTGGGAACAGGGTCGGACTCCTTCCTTGGACTGGGTGTAGTCTTGTTGGGAGCGAATGTTGGCGCAACGTGGCACTCGGGCACTATGTCTACAAATTCCTTCTTTTTGCGCCACGGTTCAGGTTCTTGGACGACGCTTGGCCTCAGTACTTCCAGGAGTAGAAACAGAAGCACGAGCGCCTACTGTACAGGGACCAGCAAAGGTAGCTTTTCTGCTGGTTCTCGTCGCCCTCTTCCTGGTGTTGAGCTGCTCATCCTGCCGGGTAGGCTGTTTACGTGATATCTCCCCCATGATCACCTCCCGGTCGGTTGGTTGGTTCTTGGAGCCCACGCAAATAGCACTCGGCGATGCGTTGCGCAATGCCCGTTCTCAACGAGCGCATATACAGGAACACTTGAGTCCGTTTGGCGGCCAAGGCTGAGAGTACCGCATGAGGAGCTGACTGATCTACACAGTGTTGATTGGTCTTTCAAGCCACTGTCTATCACATGGTACATTGTCAAGCCAGATCAACCAAAAGGAGAAACGCCCAACGCATCGTGACCACCACCCTCGCAAAGACCTCTAATAAACCACCATCCTCTCGATCCTCTTCCCGACTGTCACGCTCCACAGGTCGACCTTTTTGTACCAGATATTCGCCAGATAAAGCGTCAGTGTGAGGAGGACCGTCCATCCGACGACGAAGCCCACGGGCTGGCCAAAGTAGTCGAACAGACGGGGCATGATCCAAAAGCCTACGCTGTGCAGGATCGGCCCGTGGACAAGGTACAACGAGAAACTGATCCTGCCAAGGTACTGCGCCACTCTGCCTTCGAGGATGCTGACAAGGAAGGGCATGCGCATCACGCAGGGCAGGAGGATGAGGGCACCCAAGGATTGGTACACCATCCAGCCGGAGAGGGGGATGTAATACCGCGGAACCCACTTTGCCATGGTCCGGAAGCCTGGCGTGTACTCGGCCGCAGCGTCCGGGTACGAAAGAAAGTGCAGGGCCGTCACAATGCCCAGATACCGAAGCGCCATGTCCCGCGAAGCTGACTTTTGTCGCTGCGAGCCGGTGGCTGGGGGGCCTAGGCTCCTGGCCTCGTCGGACCGTCGAATGTCCAGCTCAGACAGAGCCGTGCCGCCCAGAAACGTGGCCATGTCCCACCTGGACATGTGAAGTGAGTAGGCCATCAAGCCGCCGGCAATACCCAGTCTGTACTTTGCCTTGAGCGCCGCGGTGCCCAGCAGGAAGATGTAGATGAACATGGACCCGCGCAGCTCCATGGGGATAGTGAACGTGTGGGGGTCGTAGCGAGGGTGATAGTGGCCGAAATTGAAGGGATTAGCCCACTCGGCGTAGGCTCTGGTAAAGTTCTGCACCGCATAGGTAATGTTATCGTGTATGAAGGGATGCTCTTCCCAGGAGCCGCCCATCTGCACCAGCATAAAGTCTGTGGTGTTACGCACTTTGGTGCCATCACACAGCGTCATGTTGGTTCCGTTGCCCGTGTGGAGCGGCACGGGTCCCTGGTAGGGTGGCCAATATTCGTCTCCGTAATGCTGCATGTATGTCTCGACCGCCTTGGCTCCGGGGTCGCTGTCGGTACCGTTGAGGTTCCTGAACTCGTCCTCGGCAAGGGCGAGCAGCGAATACGTGCGCGACGGGCCAAACTCCTTGCTCGTCGCATTGACACAGAGAGAGAGCGACTCATCCCAACCAGTCGTGTTGTACAGGTAGCCTGAGGTCTGCAGCCCCAGGTACTCTGCGACGCCGGGTGCGCCAGCGACCGCTGTGCCGTTCACACAGGGTGTGCCGAGCGAGAGCTTGGTCACCGTGCCATTGATGTAGACCGAGTCGCGACCCATGAAGATGTCGTCCTCGGGCCGGAAAGCGCCGAGCTGGGCGAGCATGGCCACGAGAAACATGCTGACGGTCGGGGGTATGTAAAGGCGGAAAACTCGGCGGAAAACAGACGAGGACAGACTTCGGTAGGCGGCATCGAGGCGTCGTTCGTGAATGGCCCGGAGAATGTGTCGGCAGAGGACGTAGCCTGAGATGGCAAAGAAGATGGCCACCATGGGACGCCCGCGCGTCAGCAGGCAGATGATGGGCAGCTGGTGCAGGCCCCAGTATGGCTCAGGCGCGCCTGGGGGGAAGGCTCCATAGCCCAGCATGATGGACGGTGTCCATGGCCACAGGAAGTGGTAGTTGAATACGAGAAGGCAGGCGATGCCGCGAAGCCCGTCGAGGCATCTAATCTTGTCTCGGTTGTTGCGCTGTGATGGAGGTGGCGCTCTGTCGTCGTGAGGTTCCTTGTCGGCGAGCTCGTAGCTGGCCTGCGCCCGCGCAGACTCAGCCTGGCTGGTTGGGAGCATGGTGGAAGGCGACAGCGAATGTCCGGCGAGGAGAACTCATCCAAACTTGATTGAAGTGCACGTGCGACCAAGTCGCGGTAGAAGAGAGTGAATGGCAATGGATGCCGAAGCGAGGGGCTGCAACGAAGTCAAGGAAAGGTGATGTGTGGGTTAGAACTTCATTAACTAGTGCCAGTGGACATTTGGCCCGCTTCGTCGCTGACGTAACGCGACGCGACGTCTTTGAATCAGTGGGGCTTCAGGGGTAGTGGAGAGAGGCCTGTTCGCTTTTAGGCTACCCTATCCTCTTCGAGCCGCACAATATCTTTCCGAAAGGCAGGCAAGCAAGCAAGCCACTGATGCGAACTGATCTCACTGCCTGTTTCCTCACCCATTCCCACACATACCCACATGGGAAGACTGGTAGCTCCGGCTAACGAATTACGTCGAGGATGTCGGCATGGTTCACTAGCGGAAAACCAACGCCGGATGATCCGTCGCGATGGGCGCGTGCCCAGATGCCTATTCCAGAGCCAAGACACTGTCTCACACTTCAGCAGCTGCCGGTAGTCGCGTCTGGACAGTTGATGGTAGATCACCCCGACTTGGCCATGAGTAGAGCCGCATAAAGCCACATCGAGTGCATCGAGGATTTGAGCGTCGTCGATCCTTGCCGTACAGCCTTGTGGTCGCAGTAGCCCCGCTGCGTTGCGCTCGAGCTTCCCGCGCCTCGTGATTGCTTCATGTTTTCATCACCGATGGGGACCAGCTGATCAATGAGCAGCACAGGGCAGCCGTCCACACACCGACATATATAAGTGCTGGTTTTCCTACACATGTGCTAATGGGTACAAGCAAGCCTGTCAACCACGCTTGCCAACAGTAGGATGAAGCTGATTATACTCCTGTTCGCCTTCTTCTCGGCTGCCTTCTCGAGGGGCAAGGTAAGCCTCCAGTGGGCCATCTGCGAAGCCAACCCGCAGGACACGCTCCCAAAGCTAGGCCTGAATGCTGCAACACCGCCCTACAAAGAAAACCCAATCACCTACTACGACGAACAGCCACCCTTCCACGCATTCTCCGGCGTGGGCTTCCGCACCAAGACCAACAAGGGGAAGCCGTTATCCGCCATCAAAGTCCGCCTCCAGGAGGACTCGCCCGACATTCCAGACTTTGCCGACTGTGGATGGGCACGCTACGGCAACACCACACCATTCTTTGCCTGCGAGAAGCGCTGCCCTCTCAAACCAGCGTTGGCGGGGGACATATGGTGCGAGGAGCAGGTAGAACTTGCGCAAAAGTACCAGCACGTCGACTGGAGCGCACTCCACGCGTACGGACCGTACCCCAATGGCAAGTGGAAGCTACGCATGGGGGGCCACAAGGCCAAATTCGACGATGTCGTGGCTGGAAATCTGCATCTGATGGAGATTGAGATGAAGGTGCACCCCAAAAACGCCGATGCAGCGACGGAGGCAGTCACGCGATATCTGACGGAGCGGGGGGTCGCCTTGTGCGAACCGCAGGAGGGAAAGTTCATGCGGTTGATTCGTTCCATGGGACACGTTAGTACAGGAGAAGACGAGCTGTGATGCCAATATGAACGAATATGCAACTTATCACCGCCAAGATGCGCAGTCCTAGACATGAGTGGTCTGCTGACGCACATGTCATGCTGGTCCAATAGCAACTGTGCTATTTGTCGGTGCCAGGTATTGGGTTGTACGCTGGAGGCCGCACAAACGAACCGATTGATTGATGCAAGGGAGAAACAAATGATAAAGCGCGTTGCATGAAAGGTGAGCGGCGAACATATCGACTGACGTCAAGTAGTGCAACGCTGTCTCCGCACTGCGTGCATCCTTCGGATCTTTCCTTGGTCGTTAAGTCGGGGAAGTTGAAACACTTGGGGGCGTCCATGCCGAAGAGATCATCACGATAAGACGCTCGTCGTCTGCCAACGCAGACAAGGCACCTCCAGCGAGGTGCACTCTCTACCATGTGATCCTCCCTGGGCCGAGCAGGCCGCCATTCCTGGCCAACACCTATGCACTCTGATTCAATGACTGGGACCATGACTACCTGACTCCCCGCAACAACAGCAGTATCGTCGTTAGAGGCGCGAGGAGGACATACCTCCGCCATTTGGAAGACTGGTAAGGCAAATTTGACGACAACCAGATGGTGGAGAGGGCAGAGGGATACTTTGATGGCTGCATGCAGCGGCATTTCTGAGTCTGGGAGGACAGTGGTGCACACACAGCCAGCGTCTGGACGGGCAGTGAGTATGGTCTCCGCATTCATCTGTCTCGAAATACTAACACATTCGCAGTCCTGGGATATTCCGCGGATTATCTGCCCCGTATTGGCTGTGTACCGGGCAGGAAGAACATGTTCATCATGGGTGGCTTCACTGGCCATGGGATGCCCCCAATCTTCATGGCCGTCAGGGTGCTCAGCAAGATGATCCTCGAGGGAGCACCCTTGTCGGGTTTCTGGGTGCTCCGACTCTGAGGAGACGTCCGCTCGGTTGAAGAGTCCAAAGCGCTTCGTCCTAGATGTGTACGCAAGTGTGGAAACTCCATCCACGGTGTAGCAGACTGCTGAGCTAAAGTCAGCAAGCTCGAGGGGTCCATGCAGGACTCACGCAAATCAGTGGTCTGGTTGAAAAAAAGCAAAAGAGAATCATTTACGCTAACTGTAGTTCCTTCTCCCTCATCTCCGGCAGTCCATCGTGTCCATTTGTATCATGAGCATACTCAGAGTACACATCAGTCTCCACCGTCTTCTGGACCTCCAACACACACGCACTCTCTCTCAGCTGAGACTGAACAAGCTCATTGTCAGAGTCTGACGTCGACGCCAGACCTGAACTCCCCCGTTTCCGCGCCGAACTCGACAAGCCGCTGGAATAATAGCTGCCCTTGCCCCCGGCAGAGCCCGTGCCGCCAGCAGAGGCCGACTGCTTCGAGTAGCCCGTCCCACGTCGAAGGCCCCTGAGACCCTTGGTCAACACACCGCCGAGCGACAGCAGTGAACCGACGACAATCGACGTTGCAGTCTCTACGGCGCCCCAGAGGGCGACACCGATGTAGTCTATCCCGTAGCCACAGGTGATCTGCGTCATGCGCACAATGGCCACGGCAACGACCAACAGGCCCAGAGCAAAAGTCAGTCCGATGCCGACCTTCTTGCCGCGACTCAACTGCAGGCTCGGCAGGATGTACATGGGCAGCAGCGCGATGAGAATGTCGCTCAGGGTATCGACGACGGTGACAAAGATGGCGCTGGTGCGGGCTTGGTGCTCGGCACGGCTGGTCTCGAAGAGGTACATGTCCTCGGGGCTCGCGCGCAGACATGTATAGATTACCCAGCACCCCACATACGACAACACGGTGAAGCCAGCCACGGCATACAGACTTCTCCGCAGCCGCGTGATGGGCCGCACGAGTTTGTAGAATGTGACGAGCAGACTGGCCTTGACGCTCCAGAGCACCGTCCAAAACAGGGCCGTGACGGCAAAGGACCACCTCGCCATCTCCCGGGCCTGGCGATACCTGTCCGGGTCCGTGGGGGCGATGCGGCCGTAGTCCAGGTAGACCACGTACCACATGGCGTCGAGCTGGACGGTCTGGATGACTGTCTGTGTGATGAAGGCGAGGTAGGCGAAGAGCATCCAGTAGTCGTCGAGAAGGAGGCGGCCGTTGTACCGCCAGCGAAGGATGAGACGCAGGCAGAGAAACACTGTTGCTACGGCAAACGTCGAGTATATCGAGGCCAGGAGGCCATCTCGCGAAAGCTTTGCGCTCAGGCCCCAGAGGGGGGAGTCGGGCGACCAATCTGATGAGGTGTCGGACATGATGCGGTTGTGACAAGATTGATGCTCAGACGTCGATGGCAAGGTAGTCCGGTCTAGTGCAAAGCACAGCCGCCGAGTGCGATCATTCTGGTCATAAGGAGTCCAGGTCGTGTCTGCACCGATAACGAATCCTGTTATACGCGGGAAAGCCACATGTCGAGGGTGCCAAGGTGCCCCCCGTCGTGGAACGGGGGCTGCGCATCCTGTCGTGACCCAACCCTTGTCGCAATGTATGCACTCGGGATCGCGTTTCGGCGCTCGTTGAGCAGCACAGACGAGACGGTGACGTAGATGAAATACTCTCTGCGTTTGTTCATTCATTCATTTATTTCTCGTTGACGGTGCTTTCCCTCCGCAAGCACTGCATGGCGCGCCTCATCGCGACACCGCTGCTTATCTCGAAGGATCGAATGAAGCAGCAAATATGTTCCCAACTTGAACACGCGGCTTTATCTGTCGAGCTGAGCGCTACTGCACAAATGTACCCGAATCCCTGAAGATGGCTTATCAGCCCCGACAAGCAGACCAAGCTATTGCTTTGTGAAATCTTCAAGAACCTTGCGCCCTCGCCTGCAGTCCTCCTCGTGGTATGGCTCAATCTCATTCTCAGCAACACCCTCCTGCACCCACGCCTGCACGGCCGGGTGATCAAACAAGCGCTGCATGTACTCGCCCGCCGCACCATCCAGCTCGATGCCAAACGTCTTGCACCGGGACGCAATGGGCGCATACATGGCGTCGGCCACGGTAAACGTCTCCCCCGCCAAGAACGGCCCCTTGAACCTTTTCAGCCCTTCCTTGAAGAGCGCGGTCAAGCGGTCCAGGTCCCCCTGCAGAGCCTCACCAGGTGTCCCAAGCTCGATGCGCAGGGCCACGTTCATCGAGCACTCGTCACGGATGGCGTCAAAGGAGGAGTGCATCTCGGCCGCAGCAGACCGGGCAAAGGCGCGCGCCGCCGCGTCGGCGGGCCAGGCGGCGGGATGGCTCTCGGCGACGTACTCGCAGATGGCCAGCGAGTCCCAGACGACAATGGACGTGTCGTCGTGGTGGAGGCAGGGCACCTTGCCCGTGGGCGAGAACTGGAGGAACTCGGGCTGGCGGAGGCCTGGCTTGAACATGTGCAGCTTCTCGGTGAAGGGGATGTCGAGCGCCTTGAGCAAGACCCATGGCCGCATGGACCAGGTCGAGTAGCGCTTATTGCCGATGTACAGGGCGTATGTCATGTTGGCGTTGGGTATGAGGTGAGTGTGTCGGGAAGACTGCTGTCCACGTACAGGTCGACGGCGAGTCCTCCCTCTTATATCCTCAAGAGCTTCAGCTGTGCCTCCACCACGAGACCATACCCAGACCTCTCTTTTCTACTCCTGGGTCACGATAGTTGTCTCGCGCGCCCTATGGCGCCAGCTGACAAATGCCGCATCAAGTGCGGATTTGTTGGCCTTGGAGGCGGATCCCAGTCTGACCGAGGAGTTTGACGTACCCTAGACCATGTCATGGATCCCTGCGGTTCCGATTCTTCATTCTTAATATTAATTTTGGATCTTGATGCTGCTCAGTCTCGGAAATAGTCACCAAAACAAAATGTTGATCCACGCCGTCGTCAAAGCTTGCCGTATGGCAGCGCGATAGCAACTGAGACAGGTATCGTATGATACTCGAACTATCATCGTCAATACCTCTCGATGATCCACTGGCGCTGTTCATCAGGCTTCATGCTCTGCAGCATCCCAATCTCGGCCCTCTTGATGGCAACGTATCGCTCCACCATCGCCTCACCCAGCATAGAGTTGGCCATCTCTCCGTCCTTTTCCAGAGCGCAGAGAGCCTCCTCTAGCGTCGTGGGAAGTCGCTCCCGGATATTCAACCTGGACCTCTCCGCCTCGGACAAGACCGCTGGATCGACTGTGCACTCCTTCCAGGCCATGGGTGTCTTGGAGACAATGCCGCGTAGGCCCGAGGCTATGATCGCGCTCATTGCCAGATACGGGTTCGCCAGACCGTCCACGCATCGAATCTCCCAATGACTCCCGTCCACCTTGCGCAAGGGGGTCTCGCGGTTGTGGTATCCCCACGTTACCCAGGTACCGCCCGCCCAGCAGCCATCCACAACTCTTTCATAGCTGCATGGACTGGCGCATGTGAATGCCATGACACCTCGAAGACGGCTCAGTATACCTGCGTAGAAAGGTTCATAGATTTGGGCATCATCGACTTGCTCTCCATCAACCCCCCTGAGCGACATGTGCGCGTGCGCTGCCGTGCCCGCGGTATCCGGGAATGGCTTGGGATGTAGTGTCGTCTTGTATCCATGGGCAGTCGCGGTTGTCGCAAGAATGGCGCGCACGTAGATGAGGGTATCGACAGCCGCAAGCGCCGGCTTTGGGGGTAGAACAATCTCAAACTGCCCAAAGGCACTCTCCGCGTGGACTAGCTCAACCAACACGCCAGCCCGTGCCAACGAGGCGACCGCTTCTTCAATGACGGCGCCAGCGGGATCTTGGGTATCTGTAGCACCAAAGGAACACCAAGCATGAGCATCCGACGAGAGCCTGTCGTACTGCCGCGGACCCTTGCGCTCGAGAAGCACAAACTCAATCTCAAAGCCGAGGAGGACGGAGAGGCCATGCTGCGACGCACGGCGCATAGTGTCCTCCAGGAGCGTGCGCGGACATGATGGGACGGGCTCTCCGCTCTTCTCGCGAAAGTTGCCCATGAGCATGGCATGGCGGTTGCGTGGGCCCAACCGCAGGGAAGTAAGATCGGCGCACAGATCCCATTCTCCCACGGGTGAAGCACCCGCCACATTGATCAAATGATCATTCTGGAGGATGGACAAGGCAGCTGTTGCGACACTCACTTTCAGCCCCGTCTCGAGCGGCCCTTGACGTGTGTGGGATTGTTGGAGAAGGAAAAGTGCGCGGTGTGTAGGGACAAGCCGGGCACGAAGCGTGCTCGTCATGTCGAGCCAGCATATTCGAACGTGGTCAATACCTTTTCCCGACAGGGCAGAGATAAAGTCGCATGAGGAAGCTATGCTTGTTATGGGCTCTCCTCCCAGGTCGGTGATGCTCTCTTCACCGACCACCGCAGCGTCAGGGACACTTTTTGAAGTGAGACTGTCGTCCACACCATCAGTCGAGCTTGAGACAATGGTGACGGCTGATTCCTTGTGCGCGAGAATCATAGGGGCGTTCCAGCTTGGAGTTCGTGGAATGTCCATCGGGTCCCTTTGCGTTAGATCAAAGCACAATAAGCTGGCAATGTCGAAGAAGCAAGCTCACATGCCAGCACACGACACTACATTACGGACGAGAATCTCCTTTCGTTCGCTACTCTCTTAGCCAATAGCGTTCATCCATGGGACCAAGTCTGTGATTCACAGTGCATCATGCTGCTGTGATGAGCGCGGGGGTTGTCGCCTCGTGCAAATGTCCTGCTCGGACACATCCATCGTGCCACAATGTGCGGAACTAACGGCAGTGCATCCTGGATATCATGCACGGATTCGACAGCAGCGCTACTCATCCAATTGTCGAGACCAACCTCGAATGGCGCTTATGCCCGCACGACGCGCATATCCCAGTCGTCCGCTTGCAGACTCGTAAGGGAAATTGGATGTAGGGAGCGTTGCGGACAAGGTTCCTCGTGGACGGACAGACGGAGGATTGAGTGAACACGCAATGGACACATACCGACGGGGACGTACAGCACAAGTACCTACATGGGACACACATGCAGTCTGGTGGTATTGTATTCCCGTTGGTCGTCGTGGCATAAATGTCCGCATGCAGGGCCAATGGCCGCCCGCATCAAGGTTCCAAGGGGTCTTCGAAATGGCACGGTAGCATCCAGCGTGTCTACGGTCTAGCCTAGCTTAGCCTTCCAGAAGCAAGCTCACGAGTCACGACAGTCGTGCCAATTCTCGGTAGGCGGGTGTCGAGCCCGCCTCCCCCCGACCCTTTCACACCCGACCCCTGATCCATGTCCCGGCCTCGTCCATCGACGTCGTCCCACAACTCTTGGCCAGGGGTCCGCTGACAACATGGGCCACGATCGCCCGGGCGGGCAGTTTTTGACCTTGTCTCCAGCAGAGCTTTCATCAAGTACATGTGTCATGGATTCGTCAGCCTGGAGAAATGAATCCTTTCCGACCGGTCGGATGGATGAGATGCGACGTTGATACACAGCAAGGCCAGGATCCATGGACCATTACTCTCATTCGTACCATCTATAGTCTGGTTTAGGCATCGGGCCTGCTTACTGTCCCAGGCTAGACAATGTGATTCATTGAGTTCCAGTCGGGACTAATACTACCACCGTACATGCCAGGCCCAACGTTCAGTCTTCAGGCTCTGCCTCCAGGCTCATTCCTGGTGGTGGTCATATACGGCATGGACGCTCGCCATCCCACGTTTCCATGCCCGTGAAAAGTTGATATCTGAAATCATTTCTACGCACTCATGCACTCCACAAGACGATAGAGGCAGTATGGACCTTCGCTCCCTCCCTCCCGCCGTGCTTGTGCCGCGCGAGCACGAGACGCCAGACAACAAGGCGCCCCTGATCCGGGCACTGGCCGCCTTACTCATCGTTATTGCGCTGCTGGCAGCGACGGTGCGTATCGCGACGAGGACCATTACCATTGCCAGGCTCAAGGTAGACGACTTTCTTGCCATAACGGCAACCGTACGTATGCCCACCCAGATTCAGACAACGAGAGACTAATCTGTTTGCTCTGCTGGCAGGCTTTCGCCCTCGTTCAGTCGGCTCTTGTGATCGCCCAGGGCGCCAACGGCCTAGGCAAACGCAATGGACTGACCTCGGATCAAGTGTCTTACATCCTCAAAAGTCACTATGCCTCAGACGCACTCTACATTGCGGCTCTGCTGTTCGCCAAATTGTCCGCTACGAGAAGTATCTGGGTCATGGCGCCTAGAGAGCGCAGGAGATGGATCATGATCACCGAGATCTGCATCGGCCTGTGGGCAGTGTCTACAATTGTGACATCGTTCTTCCAATGTGCCCTCCCCGAGCCGTGGAACTATGTTGACGGTGGGACGTGCTTCAACAGGGTATGTTTGTCCTTGCTTGAGGAGATACTTGTCGACTCTACTGACACTCCACAGACCGCTTTCTGGATTTACGTCGACGGTCTCAACATTCTGACCGATCTCTCCCTCACAGCCATCCTCACGGAGATGTTCCTCAAGCTGAAGACGTCCATCTCCAAGAAGATCATGGTGATTGGCGTCTTTGGCTGCCGTATCTTGTACGTCTCCTCACAGCCACTTGCATCCCAGGCATGCTGACTTGCACAGCGTCATCCCTCCCATTGTGTGCCACATGTACTACTACAAGCAAGCGGTAGAATCGAGCAACCCCATGTTCGCCATGTGGCCGCCCACCGTCATCGTCCAAGTCATCCAGTGCATGATGCTGCTCGTCACCTGCATCCCCTTTCTGAAGCCGTTCATGGACAGCCTCGAGTCTGGACAGATGGCGGCCGGCGACCTGAGGGGGACGAGGAGCAAGGGGACCAACAGTCGATCAGGCAGCGGCTATCCACGTTCAGCCCCCCTGAGTCGGTCACGCTACAACAACACGGCTGCGAGTCAGGGGGTGACGTCGGTCGTCAACAAGGCCTCCGCGAATGCGTCGCAGGCGTATGAGATGATGGACATGGACAAGCCGCAGGGCAAGGGCGGCGATACACCACTGGTGACGACGGTGACAGCGGCTGAGACGCATTCGCGCGAGGCGAATGGGTCGTGGGATGGGCAGAGCCACACGAGCCAGACGGTGCTGGTCGAGACGACGTGGGCAGTTAACTATGAGGGAGAGTCTCGCCGCAGCTCGGCGAAGTGAAATAGGGCCAAGGGACGCAATCATAGATAGATCTCTTTTGATTCAAAGAATGTATCTATATGGCTTGGACTACGATATCAGGCTTTTCTTCTTCTTTTTTTTTTCACGGTGACAATAGCTAGATCCATTGTTTGCAACTCGACTGGACAAGCCCGACATTCTAGTTCACTCGAAATTCCGGAACTTGTTGACTAGTTTGAGGTTTGATGCTTTCTTCGGGGCTTCCATTTCCATGATCCTCAAAGGGACTGATGCTGCACTAGGGTCTCAAAGTAACGTATCAAGATGGCAACAAAGCCGGACCAACTCCTTCAACTTTGACCGGCGTGGACAGGGACATGGACAGTAATTTCTTCCCAACCACCTTTTGCCCGTTCCAGATTCCTGTCTGGATTCCGGACCTCGGGGGCTTTAACTTGATCTGCCCAAGAACCCGGTGTGTAAGCACAACCCTCCTCTCCATTGGCCTCGTGAGGCCCCAAGCGAGGCAGGGGTCGTGCAGAAGGCGAAGGAATAGCGGCACATTAATCCAATCCCATTCTGCATTGGTCAGGTTGAAGTTTTAGTCACAAACTCGAGCCCGGATCACGCACGTGGACGTTCCGGCCATGATATTGCTAAGGAATGGAAGTGGTTTCTGTCTCTTGTCAGCTGAAGCTAATAAGTACAGGTCAGGCTGGCCTCTGGACATGAAATAACAGCCGCTCGTACAATAAAGAACGCAGAGGGGAAAGGAAAGCTCGATGTGCGGCGTTACATTGCCGTGACTTGCAACCACCTGCATAATTATGCCCGGTCGTTGTCGACGGCGGGGCCGGGGACCCCTGCCACACATCCGCGCGTTGGTCGAGGGTACTTTACGGATACATGTCCTGTAATTAGTATACTCCGTACATAGTTACATGTTACATGCATCGAGCTGCCTGTAGTCCGCAGACTGACATTGCCCCATGATACTCTAAATCGGCCGCTTCAAGGGGTTCGGACAAGTTTTGGGTCTCGCCATATGGTCCATGGACACACCTCGAATCTGCCGTGGCGCCACTCGAATGTCTTGGCCCTTTCCAAAGGATTTCCACAATCGTAACCATGTACGGCCGTCTCACAACTTGTCCAGCGGCTTAGTTGCTGTTACCTACCAGATTCATGGTCTGGAGGTGCGGAGTTGCCAGGGTCTGTCGTGTCTCCAACTGCATGTGCCTGTGCAGGCATACTTAAGCCCTTTCCTCAGCTTTCATCTCGCTTTTGAACCGTACACTTGCTTCTCTTCCCTTCCTGTACCTGTCTCCAACTTTCTCCCACCATGGCGAAAAGCGACGAACTTCATAGCGATGGTCCGCCCAAGACGTTTGGGGCAACGACAACGGCCCATCATGTGTCGACGGCCACCGACCGCGACCAGCAAGACTATGACCAGCTGGCGCGCCTCGGCAAGCGGTCTGTCCTCAAGGTGCGCAGATAAGGAACTACCGCTTGACGTGATCTGATCTAACACTGTCCCAGCGCAACTTTAGCTTCCTCACCATCCTCGGCTTCAGCTGCGCCATCCTCGTGACATGGGAGGGCACACTGATGAACTTTGCGCCGGGCCTCGCCAACGGCGGCCCGGGAGGACTAATCTACGGCTTCATCTTTGTGTGGATCGGCAACCTGAGCGTCTTCTCCACGCTGTGCGAGCTCGTGTCCATCGCGCCAACGTCAGGCGGGCAGTACCACTGGGTGTCGATGCTGGCACCGCGGTCCTGCTCCAAGTTCCTGAGCTACATGACGGGCTGGCTCACGCTGGCGGGCTGGCAGGGGACCTCGGCGGCAGCGGGCTTCCTAACGGGGACCATGACGCAGGGCCTGGTGACCTTTCTCGTGCCCTCGTACAACGCGCAGACGTGGCAGGGCACGCTGATGCTGTGGCTCTGCATTTTTATCGCTGTCATCATCAACACCGTCGTGAGCTCCATGCTGCCCAAGCTTGAGGGCATGATCCTCGTGCTGCATATCCTCGGCTTCTTTGGCGTCATGATCACGCTCGTCACCTTTGGCGCCAACGGCGATGCGGCGGATGTGTTCCTGACCTTTCGCAATGAGGGCATGTGGCCCTCGCAGGGTCTGTCGTGGTTCGTCGGTCTGCTGGGCTGCGTCTTCTCCTTTGTGGGCGTCGACTGCTCGTTCCATGTGAGTACTTTCTCCCAAGAAGTGAGATCTCATCATGCTGATACAAGCCCAGATGTGCGAAGAAGTGCAGAACCCATCCATCGCAGTCCCCCGGTCGATCATGACGAGCATCTGCATCAACGGCGCCATGGGCCTCGCCATGATCATCTCGATGCTGTACGGAGCCACGGACATTGACGCGGCCATCAACAGCCCGACGGGTTACCCCTTTATCGAAATCTTCCACCAGGCGACGGGCTCGCGAGCGGGCACGGCCGCCATGACCTCGCTCATCATCGTCATGACGCTGTCGGCCATTGTGGGCGTCATCGCGGCCACGTCGCGCATGTTCTGGGCGTTTGCGCGGGACCGGGCGCTGCCCTTTTCCTCGACGCTGTCCAAGGTCGACGCGCGCACCAACGTGCCCGTCTGGGCCATTGCCATCACCAGCGTCATCTCCTGCCTCATTGGGCTCATCAACATTGGCTCCGCGGTTGTGTACAACGCCATCATCTCCGTCGCCGTCTCGGGTTTGTACTCGTCGTACCTCATCACGGGGGCGCTGCTGCTGTACCGCCGCTGCGGGAGGGGTTTCAAGATGCCTGATCCATCTGTGCTGCCCGCGCTCGCGGACACGGCCGCCGGCGAGGGCCAGGAGCTGGCGTGGGGGCCCTGGCACATCCCGGGTGTGTTGGGCATCGTCAACAATGCCTTTGCCTGCTGCTTCATGGTGATTGTGTGGTTCTTCAGCTTCTGGCCGCCGCAGACGCCCGTCGCGCCGGACTCGATGAACTACGCGTCCCTGATGACGGGGGGCGTGGCGCTGTTCAGTGTCGTGTACTACTTCTTTTGGGCCAAGAGGGAGTACAAGGGGCCTGTGATGGAGGTGCAGGAGCACTAGGCTGGAGTCTGGAACCCAGGCGCATGACCAGAGAGCTTGCCGTATCTGACAGAAATCAATAGACTGACCGTTCTCGATGTTCGCCTCGCTTGTTTCTGTTCTAGCAGCGTTGCAGCCCGCATCAAGATACCGCCCTGAGATGCTCATGGCACGCTTCGAGAGGCCTCTAGAGAGGAAAAGTTATATTCTTCGGCATACCCGCTTGAGGTACTCTCGTTGCGCAACGACGGGAAGCCCTGACGGATGAAGGGTTCGTAAAATGGGACCTCGAATTCTTCATCTTCGCATGCGTAGAAGAAAATGTCTCCTTTTGTGAGGCCGTTTCTGAGCCATTCGGTAGATTGGAGCTGGGCGACTGATGACGCAAGCAATAGCGCGATGTGGTAACGCTGTCGTCGACCCAGATGGCCTCCAAAGTCCCCCGACAAGACGTGGTCGAGTGTCAAGGCTCTGCTTTGGCCGGTAGATGTCCGCTTGGCCAGTGGATGCAGGTGATAGGTTTCGCTTTCATGTCCAATAATACCCATGCACTGACCACAGTCGAGGTCACCAAGGCGCTGACAGAGCTTGATACTCGGCCCATTGAGGTTATTCACCTCGATCCGAGGTACAGAAATGACTGTAGACGTGAAAGCAACATTTCTCCTCTTGTGCAGTGTGCGCAATGCGATAGGAGCACGGAAATCAAAATTGGCCTTCTGCGATGTCTGGGGGACAGACGGAGCGTCGAGAAGAGACGACGTGTAGGAAAAAGAGCATTCGGTCATTGGGCCGCATTGGAGCTCTTTCCAGTTCCATTGATTGGCTTTTCCATCTCCACTCGATGGCGACGAAGCGTACATCAGGATGATCTCGAAGCACATTTCCGGTAGTGTGCGGTGCTCAAGCCGGAGATTGGCAAAGTGGTGGTGCTGACAGGAGCACTGCCATGCCTCTTGCAGTGCCTTGTAAAGGAACCTCGACTTCCTCCTGGCTTCGGCAAAGACCTTCTCCAGAGCAGAAGTAGATTTTTTGTAGACACTAGAAGCCGCTTGTTTCAAGGTAGTGATCTTGTCGCTTATGCTAAGCAGCTTCTCTTAAGCAGCTTCTCTGGTCGCTCGTTGCACTCCTTGAGGTCACCGACGATCTTGCCTCGTTTTGGCTCAGTGAGACTGAACTTGAATCGAAACAGTTCGTAGTCACACTTTGTCCTCGTCGACGTTAGGAACGAGGTTTGTTTTTGTGGTCGACCGTTTTCTGACGGGTGTAATTTTGCTTGAATCGTAATGTTGTCGACAGACAAAACTTTTTGTAACTCTTCGATGGCCTCTTTCATGTTGTTGATGATCTCCATGTATATAGGGTAAGACCCTTGCAGACGGTCTTTCAACCTCGCCTCCAGGGTCTTGCTCTTCCAGTGCTCGCTACCTGGGTCGTTGACCAGGAAAGTTACATGGTCGGGACTGTCCACGATTGGCAAGAGGAGTTCCTCCAAGTTTCTCATGTATAGAATTTGGTAGAGCCGCACATCGTAGAGACACTTTTTGTGCTCCTTTCGAATGCGGCTGTAGTAGCCCCAGACCTTTGCGACTTCGTGCCAGTGCTCGAGGCCAGAGATGATGAGAGGGATTGCCCCCAAGACGACACCAGCGACTTCAAAGCCGCTCATCGGGAGGGACGGCTACTGGAACCTTGCTGTCGGCATTGGAGACAATTTGGATGAAGGATCCAACTGGAAAGGTGAGGCGAGAAGATTTCACGTTCAGTCCAGCCCACTCGCTGCCCCGCCGCGGGCCGCGCCGCCGCACCCCGCTTTTCGCGCAGTCTTGGCTTCAACCTCGACTGGGTCCCTGTGCCATCTTCATCCTCTTCTTTGTCTTGCGACAAATGAAGGCTCGTTGCTTCCAGGAATTCGAAGCAGTATCACATCCGAGGTTTCTTCCATGCTTCATCTAACTATAAGCCCAAGAAGGAAATGCACACGCCGAATATCAGAGACGAGTATACTGATGTGCGCAGCGTGCTCGTTCGGAATTCAGTAGACCAGACTTCAGGCTTCAGTTTTCGCAGACTAAGTTAGGAAGAATGGAGGCCTCAATTTCAGAGCGATGCCGACGCTGCGTATCGATTTTCAAGTCTATCTTGTCGGCTGCGGTTGATCAGTCGGAGCCGAATCGTCGCGTCAATCACAAACAAGTGGAGGATAATCTGGAGAGACTGAGTTTGTGGATGGGGAATATTGGCGCTCTCCACGACCCCCAATCTTCCCTATCACTAGAATCACGTCTTAAAGACGAGAAAAAAGTCTTGGATCTCATTCTAGACTTGATCGAGGATCTAGCTGAGGTCGCGGGCGAGCGTATGTACCCTCATTGTTCACTACCCCACTGCCGCTGATGTGGAATAGTGCTGGAGACAGTCACTGGAGCCCGGCAAGGCGAACCGAAATTCACTCGTTCTGATCAAGATGCCGGAGAATACATCAACGAAGAGACGGAAATTCTTGAAGAAATTCGTGATTGCATCACCCGCCTTTTCCAAATGTCTAAGCTCATCCGCCAAGCTGCGCCAGGTGATCTCTTCGCGAAAGCCCTCAGTCGGGATCGGTACAAGTTTATCGACCAGTTTGATGTTGCGCATGTTGGCGAAAAGTACCCTGAGCTCGCCTCAGAGGACCTTGCTTGGTTAAGGAGGCGCCTTGGTCGGGCTATAACCCAGCGCCGACACTACCTCAGTTACATTCAAGACCATCGCGGAAGACTCGAAGAAGGGGATAGACGTGATGCGAAACCCGAGTCAGGCACCCAGCAGTTCAAACAGCAGCATCAGGAACTACAAAAAGATAATACGGGGCTACAGCTGACCAGCGAGCCGTCGACTTTCTTTACCAAGGCTACAAGCATACAGCCAGGGCACATTACAGCCGAAATGCTCACGGTCGAGGACAATGCCGACCTCGAGGACGATGCGAGGTCGTACACGACAATATCACGGTCAGTGGACGACGACTTTGAACATTCAGTGGCGGACAGGATACCCAAACTGGATGACCTGCAACATTGGTCTAAGGACGAGGTCGAATGTCCTTTCTGCTTTCGAATGAGAAGGTTCAAGAACGAAAAAGTCTGGCGAAGACACGTCTTTTCGGACCTTCGATCATATGTCTGCACCTACCCACAGTGCGAAGGCATGTATTTCGAAGACATCAACGAGTGGTTTTCCCATGAGATGGAAAACCATCGCGTTCAATATGCCTGTCAGCTTTGTCCAAACAAGGTTTTTGAGCACAGGAAACATTACCTGGCTCATGTTCACAAGCATCATCCCAGCCTTTTAGAACATGCAGACCAGCATCTCGTTCTTGACATTGCTCGCCAACCTCTTGAGAGAATCCCGGCCCAGGACTGCCCATGCTGCTCGGACTGGGTTGACCGCGTCAGAACTCGAGCCCATCCTCCCCTTAAATCGCCTGATGATAATGTCTGCGTCATACCAACTATATTCAAACGTCATTTGGCATCGCATATGGAGCAGTTGGCGCTGTTTGCTATCCCATTGGGTTCAAACGTTTCCGAGGCGAACTCTGATGATGCCATTCAGACCGCCGCATACGTGCCTTCGCAAGCGTCCAATGACTCGTCTCTGGAATTCTTCAGCCCCAACCGCTCACTTGCTTCGACAGACGCCGGTGGAAACGAGGTTTCGCATGTTACGTCAGGAGTAATTCAAGACACTCCAGCAAGCAGCGAAGGTAAACATGCTACCCTTAGCGCGAGCACTCGCTACGGAACCGATGGTATGTTGAAAATAAAGTTTCATCTTGGCAACACGCTTATGTTGCACAGGTGGGACCGAATCGCCACCAAAAGGAAAGGCAATCAATGATTTCGGACGTATGGAACCCGATTATTACACTAATGGAGAGCTAGCTATGGATGAAATTAATCTTGTAGGGATGGGTGGAGCATTCGCACAAGAGAACGCCCAAAGCGGCCTAGACGAAGAGCTTCCATTTGGCCCATTTGATCCGTCTACTTGGGATTTTGACTTCTTTCTTGATCCAGGTATGTCGGCCGATGGTAGTCCGGTGATGATCTCCTAACACTCCTGCCGCAGGTTATCAGTTTCACCCTGATGAAGACTGGGATTCTGGCTCGGTAGGCACCCCCTCAGCCTGATGCTCGGTACATTGAGGTATCGCTAATCATCTAGATTGGCTTCGTCTATTGGGCAGATCCCAGGGGACAATCTGCGCCGAGGCGAAGTGAACTTGAAGGGGCACTTCACGTCGCTCCTTAGCAGACATGGTACATGTATCCATGCGACGCATAGTCGTTGTAAGGACCGATTATGGCTCGTCTTTTTGCTGCCCTATCTTGACGTATGAAGAAAGAGGCTGCACGGAGAGGGAACTTCGACCTGAGACTCACGGTATCATCCACGATACAAAATATGAACCAACGCTCCTCCCACGCGAGAAGAAGCTAGGGGTTTCGCCTGTTGGAGCAGTGATGTATGGAGAGCAAACGCTCTCGCAAGCATCTCGACTCAATTACGGCAAAGGCCTCTGGGTCCAGCATAATGTCCCGGTTATGTTCATTGGCAAAATTCCCACAGACCAAATGAAGCTGGTCAGGCGCGCTGCTCAGCCGTTTTACAGGTGGGGTCCAACAGCCCAGACCAAGGTTTTATCATAATGCAAGCAAAAGTCCGAGAGGTGATTCAGTTTTTGAAGACCCGGATACGACGAGCAAAGTAAAAAAGGATGGCAAGAGCATCACGTCAAGACACAATGTGCACTGATTGTAGCTGTCCATTAGACATGAACGCCTTGTCCCGGTTTGTCTGCCACGTTTTTCTCATCTACTTCCTTGCGACTTGTCACAGACACAAGTGTTGCAGCAACACTCGATGGCGGTGTTTTTCCCACTGAACATGTCATCAGTGATGAATTACGGGCTCTACAGGCTACCCTCATCTTCCAGGAGAATGTTCGGGTCGAGCTGCCACTAGCTGATGGTCCTTTTCAAATCCACGTTCAAGTCTTGGAGCGCATCACAGGCCTCAAGAACGGAAAAAAAAAAACTTGTCATCAACAGACTTCAATTGTTCAGCGCCCATAGCCACGGAATCGGGCGCTTTGGGCTCGTCATGGGTCGATCTGGCTGTCAATTTCAGGGCTCTGACCACACATGGCTTCATTCAGTCGCTTCCTCCACAAAGGCCGGAAAGTTCCCTATGACCGCGCCATGATGGAGACCGAGCCTCTGTAGCGTGGAACGGAAACTTGCTTCTCGGTTGAGGGGCATATCGGAACCCCTCCGCTACACGCCGTATGATACTTGATTACATGTAGTTGGAAAGAAGGGCGAACAGGCCCATTCGTCGATCGCTGCCGATGGTTCTTGACGGCGTCTGGCCCGTGCCTGCCAGGCAAATGGGGGTGGCCGAGCCCGGGGTATAAAAGCCCGTCTTAGTACGGAGGACTTGAGGCTGAAAAGCTGAGACTCAGTCGAAACATTGCTGACTCGACTCGGGCGACTAACGAGATCGAGCAGAGAAATGGAAACAAGTTTCCACGGTAGAAAGAGAGCATCGCTGCTGTCCGCGAGACGGTCCAGGTCAACACAGTGCACGACCTGGATACTTGGGAGATGACCGTCTACATCCACGGCGAAGAGAAGTACGCGACGAGCTCGCCGGGCGATAGCTTCTACGACAAGTATGGCGCCTGTGCGACCAACCGCGGCTCGGGGCCCATCGAGGTCACCTGGAGCGATGTTTCCTTCCGGACGCGCTGAGGGCTGGTGTAGTGATTAGGACTAGGAATAGAAACTAAATAGTAGAATGAATTGACGGATCATTTTTAAAACAAAACTTAATTCAATAGCGCTATCGGCTGTTCCCTTGCGCTAAATGTAATTCGTGACTCGTGAGTCGTGGCCATCTCCGTCCGTGACATCACGATCCAGACAGCGTCAGTGAACATTTGACGATTGATGAATTGGGACACCGTCTTGTTACAATATTCATCTAAAAGCCGTGAGACAAGACCTCGGACGCGTGGCTGACTAGGGTCAGATCATTCACGACTCCAACCAAATCAGTCTGTGCCACCCATACCACTCCCTCATCCTCCTCCATCGCAATGGACGCAGACACACCAGAAGAACCCGAAATGGAGCGCGACAAGGAACATCCAACAGAGGCATCCCCCACGAGCCAGCGCCTCGGCCTGCGCCCCCGCCTCGAGCACTTCACCTGGGCCAACTTCACCTGCACGCAGTCCACCGGCGCCATCGCCATACTCCTCTCCGAGACGCCCCATCAGTTCCCAGGCCTGCGCACCGCAGGCCTCGTCATTTTCCTCCTCAACCTCGTCCTGCTCACCCTCTTCTCCCTCGCCATGCTTGCCCGGTTCCACTTCCACCCCCAGACGGCCCGGGGCTCCTTCACCCACCTCCCAGAGCTGTTCTTTGTCGGCTCCTTCTGGCTATCCATTGCCACAGTCATCATGTGCATCCAGAAGTACGGCGTGCCGCACACGGGACCCTGGCTCGTAATCGTCGTCCGCGTGCTCTTCTGGGCGTACGCGGCCGTCAGCCTCCTGTTCTCGAGCACCCTCTTTGTCGTCGTCTTCCTCAAGGTCACTGTCGAGCCGCAAAAGATCAGCCCGGCGGCGTTTCTCATGATCTACTGCACCATGCTGACGGGCACCATTGCCGCGACCATTGTCGAGACGCAGCCTCCCGCCCAGCGGCTGGCTATTATTGTCGCTGGCATCAGCTACCAGGGTCTGGGCTGGACCATGAGCCTCGTGCTGATGCCGCATATACTGGGCAGTCTGCTGCGCAATGGTGCCGGGCGCGCGAACCAACGACCGGGGCTGTTCATCCCCGTGGGTTCTGCCGCCTTCACCATGGTCTCGGTTGTCGGGTGCGCCAACTACATACCGGTCGAGTACGGCTATTTTGCCGCGCACCCAGAGGCGGCCGAGGTCCTGAGGGTGGTGGCGCTGTGGATGGCCATCTTTCTGTGGGTGTTCACCTTCTGGCTGTTTCTTCTGGCGCTTCTCGTCAATCTCCCGACCACGTTCCCCCGGATCCAGGGTCGACGGCGGCTGCAGGCTCGCATGGGCTTTTCGCTGTCCTGGTGGGGCATCATCTTCCCCAACGTCGGCTTCACAATCGCAACGACGTACATTGGGCAGAGCCTCGAGTCGGAGGCCATCCTGTGGGTGGCCACGGCCATGACGGTTCTGCTCTTTGCCGTGTGGCTGCTCGATGTGTGTCTCCACGTCAAGGCAATACTGACGGGGCAGATTATGTGGCCGGGGAAAGACGAAGATGCTTAGGTGGATGGTAGATTCGTGCGTGACCAGTACGTGTAGAAGGCAAGAATTGCTCAACTAGACATTCATACAGCATCGTTGAATTCCTTGGTAAGACACCAGATAGTGTTCACGCTATTGATGTCTCACAGGCCACCAGGCGTGACTAGGAGTGGACGGCACTGCCAGCAGCCCGAAGCGCCAAATGATCGCGTGGATGACTTGAGAGGTCACTGTTCATCAAGCTCAATGCGCATGGCGTTCAGGGTGAAGACAGACGACATGCCCAATAGTAACTCACTTGGCCAAGCAAGACGCCGGCCTTGTGCGCAAGCAGGACCTGCGCATCATCCCCCTCGCCGCCGGCATCTACCTGCTTTGCTACCTGGACCGCTCCAACATTGGCAACACCAAGGTCCCAACGGCGCCGCCGACGACGACCTGCTCGCCGTCACCGACATGTCCATACATCCGGTCAGATTGTGGGTGTCTGGAACTACAGGTCCGACGAGGCCACCAGAGGGTATCCCGCGGGTCACTGTACGAACGCCGGTCTGCTGCTGTTCGTCTCCGTAGGCTGCGTGCTCATGCACTACTGCTACTACGCATGGCAGAGCAAGCGTCGCGTAGGCACTGACGCGCCTGTCTCCAAGTACTAGGTGGCTGGCGTGGGGATGAACAGCCTTTCAACTTCATGTTGATTGCGATGGTGTTGGCGTGCCGTACATGTCGACGAGGCCAAGGCTATGGACTCGAGGATAGTAGAATTCGTCATGTTTGAGGGATGATCAGTAAGAAGGCGGAGAATCAAAATAAACATGCGAGTCGGCGGCGTCCACCAGGAGTCGGTCCACTAACAGATGGGCATACAAAATGCGACCAAGACTGTTAGAGCAGCGGACGCTCCGTGCGCCACTCCCGGCGCCACCCGCTATGAATAGTCCGTCACCCTCAACGTCCAAGTCCCTTTCACACAAGTTTCAACAGGCCGCCTTGAAACATGACGACAGACTCGGACAGCGTCGATTTCCAGGTGAGTCCTTGTAATTGATGACCTGCCTAAAACCGCAAAGTCTTGTGCCGGCCCCGGTGCGGACATGACATGAGCCGACTCCCGCATCCAATCGCCTCGCCCATCCGCAACACGCGCAATGTCGACACCACGCCAGATGCACGTTGCGCCAGGGGCCTCCCAAGGTTGCTAGACCACTTTCACATGCGACTACGAATTCAAGCATAGAATTAGGCACGTGTCCTACGGTTCAGTGAGGGCGCGCTGTGCATAAAAGGCAGAGCGTGCGCTGCCCTCTTACCATGGAGCTATGCACTGGCAATCTCGCCTATTCGCCGGACATCATGGCTCCATGGTCAATATTTGGACTCGCTGCCGTGGGCGTTGCTGCCGCCGTCAGTGTAGACCTCAATGTCAGCGCCATCACACCTGGGTCGATCGAGTCAGACTGGACGACGACCTACTACTCCCAGGACCATCCACTGCTCATCACCAACGACGGCGGCGCGTCGACGGGAGGGTTCCACGTATTTGACATGAAGGGCGCGTCACCGCTTGAATCGGTCAGGGACCAGTTCACCGGCCGCACCAAGCTCGTCCAGACTGTGTACGACATCGCTGGCAAGGACTACCTCGTGTCGATCCCCCAGACGACCTCCGTGTTCAGCCTCTACGAGCTTCCCGAGGTGAAGAAAGTCGACAATGTCGCGTTCAAAGCGCTTGGCGACTGGTCTGCACTGTGCTCGTGGCGGAGCCGCAGTGCCAATACGTACCTCTACCTGTTCGGTAAGCGAGACGGTGTCCAGTACCTTTTGCGGGAAATGGATGGCGCGGTAGAGTTGGTCGAGGTTAGTGCCTCTCTTCCTTCCGCGCAAGACATGCCCTGACAAGCTAGACTCAAACCTTTGATGTGCCCACCGAGTTCGCGGGCTGCGCCGTGTCGCAGCGCGAATCCAAGATGCTGCTGACGCCCGATGACGGCACTGAGCTGTACGTCTTGGACCTGAAGGAGTCGACCAAAGCACCACAGCTCGAGGTCATCGGGGAGGTCGGCGACGACCTGACAGGCATCGCGGTGTACAGCTCGGCAGAGATTGACTACATCTTTGCCGCACAGACAGATGTCATTGACATTTTCAGCTTCGCGTGGGAATCTATCGGCAGCATCAATATGACTGGCCTTGACGAGCTGGAGATCCAGGGGCTGAGCATGCATCAGCAGCCGGCGCAGGGATACCTCAAGGGCCTGCTAGCCTATGCTGCCGAAGCAGACGACTTTCAGGGCTTCGGCTTGAGCTCATTCGAGGGTGCTTTCGAGGAGCTTGGCATCGAGTACGACACGGAATACGACCCTCGCATCCACCGGGGCTGCCGTCAGCGCAACTCCATCAACGCGGATTGTTCCTTTAGGGGATTCTGGTCCAAGGCTGACCAGTCCTGTGAGTGCTTTGCCGGCAGCACCGGCCAAGACTGCTCCGAGTTCACCTGCCAAGAGGACTGCGCCGGGCACGGTGAGTGCGTCGGTCCCAACGAATGCAAGTGTGAGGATGGATGGGGTGGCCTACACTGCTCATTCCTCCTCGTGGAGCCCTCCCACGAGACCGAAGCCAACGGTGCCGATGGCGATGATCCCGCCATCTGGATCTCGCCCAAGTCTGCGGGCAAGTCTCGCATCGTCACAACCACCAAGTCGGAGGATGGTGCTGGCCTTGGTGTCTACGACCTGCAGGGCAACGAGCTGCAGGTGCACCCTTCGAACCAGCCGAACAATGTCGACATGATCTACGGCTTCCAGGCGGGCGGCCGCACCGTGGACCTCGCTTTTGCTGCTTGTCGCGGCGACAATACCCTCTGGTCTGTTCTTGCCCCTTTACCTCCAATGAAACATCTCGCTGACTCTTTCAGCCTCTTTGAGATGACGCAAGATGGTGTCCTCCGGGATATCGACGGCGGCATCCAGCCCTCAGACGCCGACGACGAGCTCTACGGCTCGTGCGTCTACAGGTCCAAGACCACCGGAAAACAATACCTCTTTGTGAACGAAAAGTCTGCCCGCTACATGCAGTACGAGCTCACGGCCATGGCGAACGGTACGCTGCACACCGAGCTCGTCCGCGAGTTCGTCGGTGGTTCGGGTGGGCAGGTCGAGGGCTGCGTGACGGACGAGGAAAATGGCTGGCTGATCCTGGGCGAGGAGCCCTCCGCGCTGTGGCGGTACGACGCCGAACCCGACGGTAGCGAAGAGGGCTACCGCATTGCGTACGTGGGCGACGGTCGTCTCTTTGGCGATGTGGAGGGTGTCACGCTTGTCCACGGCAAGACCAAGGACGAGGGCTTCATCATCGTCTCCTGCCAGGGTGTCAGCGCCTACAATGTCTACCGCCGTGCGCACCCGCACGACTATGTGGTGACCTTTAGCCTCCCTGCAACAGCGGATGGGACGATTGACGGCGTGACGAACACGGATGGTGTCACCGCTGTGGGCGCCCGGCTGGGTGACGAGTATCCCTATGGCCTCCTCGTCGTCCACGACGACACGAATGAGTTGGCTGGTGGCGGCGCGGATGAAGAAGCCAGCTACAAGCTTGTGCCTCTGGACAAGATCCTGGGTGCCGATGCGCTCAAGGAGCTGAGCCTCCTCGATGAGATTGACCAAGAGTGGGATCCTAGGGCGTAGCGATACACGTGCTCGAGCAGACCATGAGAAACACAGCGAATAAAAGGTCATTCGGTAGAGGGTCGAAACCTTGCTCGAGTATAGTCCAGGCCAGGAGTTGATCAGTACATGTCGAGTGTGTCGGCGCATCAAGACTCTCCGTACGTGATCGATTACCGACAGCAGGCTTGGCGTGTCTGCGTTTGGGGGAATCGCTTCCACCACTCACGACAACCCAAATTCATGTGGGAACCTCAGAGCCGGTACTGAGACGCCGGTTCGCGAGTCTCAGCATCATTCGACGCACGCCTTCGCCTCCCCCTCCAAGTCCAAGTTCAAGTTCAAGTACAAGTCCAGGGCCAGGGCCAATAGGTGTCGCCGGGCCGACGAGATTGCAGGGGGGGTCAAGGAGGGGGGACGGCCTAACTACATGTACACTCTGCACCTCGGAGATGGAGTGGAGAGACGCGGCACACAGTCCGGGGTGCCGAGCAGGTTCTCGCGCCGCCTATCGAATAGTCTGGAGTGAGTTTCTGGGGAACAATGATAGATACGCCCTCCGGAGTACTCAGCTTGGCAGTGCACATTGGATGGACTGGCGCGGAGAGGAAGCGCGGCGTATTTGATGCTCTCTGGCAGAGAGGCACGTCGAGAGAAGTTCCTGCTCTAAACCTTGCCCACCCATGTCCACATCAGCTTGGTCATTACTATAAGCAGCGAGCATAGTCTGCCCATGGTTCCCCGTACGGACATGACTGCCAAGGCTGGTGACGAGACCCGGCGTGCCAAGACGACCAGGTCTTGCACGCGTACTGAGAGTCTCTCCGACAAGTGGCCGCCGTTCCTCGGCTGAACGATATCATCCCTAGGATGCTATTCTCCACTCCATGTCATAGCCACAAACACTGGGTCGTCAACTTCTGTACTGTACGTATTCAGTGTCCTGTAGTCTGTAGCTTGCAAGGCACATGCATAGTCCCCCCCCCCGGAGACCGATCATGTCCAGGCCCGAATCGGTATCGTGTCCCGTTCGGTGCTGGACTCGGCCTTTCTGGGCTCGTCCCGCCTCCATGGCGTCGATCAGGCTTGCCCTTTGGCCTGTGATTAGACGGGGTGCCGGCGCCATGTGCCTGCATGGCGAACAAAGGGCCGACGTTTGGTAGGGAGAGAGTCCGGGGTCCTCTCCTCGAGTCCTGTCAGGCTGTCAGCCACGTTGTCAGGGCCAAATTTGACTATGCGTGGAATTAAGAGTAGGTACGCATGAGTCGTACATAAGTATCGGTGCCCGGGCAGCTTCATCTGGATGCGATCAGGCTCAAGTACGCTGACCGAGTTACCATTGCCGTACTGAACCAACACCTCATCCTTCCACCATGTTCCACGTCTGTGCGTCTCGTTCCCTGGAGCTGCTGTGTTCAACCGTGGCACTAACCAACACATGCAGTCTCAGGCCATCCCGAGGCACCGGACTCGAGCAGCAGCTCCTTGAAGATACCCGTCGAAAAGAGGTCTCGCTCACGCGGCTGCAAGATTCTACATGCATGCATCGAGTGCAAGCGCCGCAAGATTCGCTGTGATGGAGCGTCGCCGTGCAGCCGATGCTCGACACGCGGTCTCGCCCATTCGTGTGGCTATGCCAGGCACCGCGAGAGGATGCACCCTTCCAAGCAGTACGTACAGTGGCGGCCCTTCACTGTTCGAGGTGTCGTGACTTACGCAGACATCCAGAAAAGTAGAAAAGCTCTCGAGATCCTTGGAAGAGCACCGCACCATCGTCGACCGCCTGTTTCCGGACCATGACGTGTCAGATCTCCTGTCCTTACCGCGAAACGAGCTACTCAATATCGTGAACACGCCAAAAATGGAACAGTACTCGCAGCCATGGTTGCCTCCGCCATCGGAGACGAGCTCTGATATGTCACTTGATTCTCCGTGCTCGGATCACAATCCGTTTGCGCCGGCTGCTGAGTTATTCAAAGGCATCGACATTGACAAGCTGGTGGAGAGGGGGATAACGTGGGAAGAGCCGGCCTGGGAGAGTCCATTGGGTGAATCTGTCTTTCCAGGCTACACGCTAGGTTTATAGGTCGTGTTGCAACATATTCCCGTACCACTATGGTGTGCCCATTGGCTTTCAGTACGTGTAGCACAGTTGGCCACTTGTCGTAGACATCAAGTCGCGCACTGGTAGGTCCATGGCCATCCCTTGCATCTCGAGCAGGTCGTCGAGGCTTGCCTGGCCTGGCTGGGGGCCGCCTGGGAACGTCTGTCTCCTCACACCACTGTAGTCAAAGGTCCGATTCTCGGGGTTCTCCTGCTGCCAGAGCGTCCAGATGCGGTCGACCTGACCGTGGTGCAGGAAGAAGATCGGGTCTGTTTAGATAGAGTGAGATTCAACGTCAAGTCCTCTGGAATGGATGTCACTTACCATTGGGTGAGTGAGCCGGTACCATGTCGCCACCAATGGCGCTGTGTATGGCCCCGTGAGGATAGCTCTCCAACCGCTGTCTGAAGGCGTCATAGCCAGGGATGCCGAAAATTCCCTCGACTACGGCGGGTGTGTATGCGTGCTTCAGCATACTGGGCCCACTGCCGTTGAACTGGCGGGACAAGCAGTGTGGCGCGTAGCCACTGGCGCGGTAGGCGACTTGGAAACCAGCAAACGGGCCATCTACAATGCATGAAGGGTCACCTCCCGTGCCATCGCCACCGAATCCAGTTTCAATGTCCCAGACGGGCGAGTCGCGAGGCTCGTCCGAATCGAGGGTCCAGTCCCAGTACACTGCAGATCCAGTGTAGCCGCAGTCCTGGAGTGCCTTCTCGTAGACGTGGACAAAGTAGCGGTGCCACGGCAGGAAGTTGGACACAAAGTGGACTATGGCCGTCTGTTAGTTGTGACTCCATGAGTGTGCCAGGTCATCTTACTCTGCTTTTCGTTGATCATGTGCGAGTAGGCAAAGTCGTCGTAGCGCGTGGTCCCCAGTCCAATCTCGGATGGCTTCGTGGCGAGACACAGCACGGCGTCAATGTAATTGTGCTTCTCTGGAGTGGACAGCGTTCGCCATTCCTTGCGCACCACGGGGTGTGTGCATGAGCCGTTGTACTCGCGTACTGCTGCAGCATCGCCCTCGGGTGTTGGCGTTGTCGCTGCATGGGCTGCTGCGATGATGCTCGCGTAAAACGTGGCAGCACGAAGACGCATGACTGGGACCGTTTGTACAAATGATAGGCGGCCCAATGCACGATACGGCCAGAGGTGAACATTTATAGGTTTTTCGGATGCGAATTTTCGTCGCAATGAGTCAGGGACCGTAAGCAAGATCCCAGTAACTGTTCCTTGGCTCGACGATGGAGCCTGTTCTGCAGGTAGGTTGGCGCATAATCGCACTATCGTCGCCCTTGGCAGACCAGGTTGAATTTTTTTATAGGATTCGAGACTTTAAGCTGGCAAATGCCGAGCCAAATTTTTCAGTCCAGGGACTGCAGGGTCTCTCGCAGTTGCTGACGCTAACGTGCGTCGATTGAGTTGCGAACTCGCGATCGCGAATCGCAGAATTCGAGCGCGTGATGGATAATCATAGCGGTCAGTGACGGCTGCTCCGCGGAATGGCGTCTGAAGGATGCAAATGACTGCTTGGCACTGCAGAGTATCGATCGTGTCATGGATGGCACGGAGCGGGCGATGGATATTAACAAAGTTCAATTCAACTGGGCGGGCGGCAGTTGGAGGCAAGACACGTTGTGCAGCATGCACGTTCGGTTACCACGCGAAATTATCGCCAATCAGCACGTGTCTTCCTCAACATCATCACCACCAACCTCCAGTGAAGAAGACCACACCAACGTTGATCAGCTCTTTGGATACGTGCGCCTGGATAACGTCTGTGCAATTAGTCGCGGGAAAAGCAGCTTCGTACCGCGACATGGCCCCCAAGGCTGCCGCAGTGAAGGGCAGAGCCGCCATCACAGGCTTCTTCAAGCCAGTCTCACAATCACAATCACAATCACAATCACAATCACAATCACAATCACAATCACAATCACAACCACAACCACAATCAGATCTACATGGCTCTCGATCAAATCCGCCTGCGAAGCATGCTTCACCTGTGCCAACTTCTCGGGCATCGCCCCAAAGACAAAGGTCAATGTCACCAGCAAATGAGCTTCCCAAATTGAAACAGACGCCAACAAAGGCGCAAGCAAGTCCCATGAGCTCCCCTCGACCAGACCATGTCGACCTTCCTAGGCCCACAAGCTCGCCAAGTCCCCCCCAAAAATTCACTCAGCAAGTCATCCCAGCCTCCGATGAGGACCTTGACGCTGGGGACTCGGACTCCGAGATGGAGGATCTACTGGCAAGGTTCGACCCAAGGAGGACAGCGCCCATGGAAACAAGTTCAGCCGCACCTCGACGGATATTCGAGACACCAAAGGCGAAGAGGCACATGCCAGATGGATCCTACTCGTCGCCCTTGACCATTCAGTCCAAGCACGCATTTGATATGAAGGCGCTTGCGGCGGACGCAGAGTGTGACAAGCGCGTCGAGGAGAGCTCGCGACGCCACGAGGAGGGACTAGCAGAGGCCGCCGAGATCGCGCGGGAACTCGCCGCTGCAAAGCGGGTTGATGGTAATGATCAGGCTTTCTTGAGCGTCGTCAACGATAGAGGCGGCTCCAATGCGCACAAGGTGCTCAGAGCTGTGCAGCGCGCCGAGTCAGGACATGGCGATGCTCGATTCTGCTTCTTCAAGGATCCTTTCAGTCCCCCCGCGCCAGCCCCGGTGCCCGAGAACATATGCACCGGTCCATGGAGAGGTTTTGTGGGGAGCGCCAGTGCTCGGGAGCAATATCTTGTGTCAGGCATTCCCTACACCGTGCTCCAGAAATGCGGCGGCCTGCCCGATGAGCTTTTTGACTGGATGCTTTCACGAATATGTGGCAGCAGGTCAAGACTGATGCAGATCGAATACTTGAACCTGGTCACCATCTGCTCTGACCAGATCGAGACTCGCATCACGCCGGGTCGACTGCGAGACTTGTTCAATCTGATTGGGAGTAGGGAGGAAATCACATCGTCGACCCAAGATGAATTGCAAACCAACGCGGCCGACGAGGAACCGTACGGTGAGCAAGATTGGGGGAGCGTGCGCATGTTCCTCCAGTTGCTTGCGGTGATGGCGCCCCACATGGCGGTGGAATCCGTCAAATATACGCTCAGCATGCTACTGACGATGGCTGCCGACGACGTGATACTAAGAAATGTTGACATATTGATCGAGCACGAGGAGGCTGTTATAGCTCTGCTGGCGGCGTTGCCTCTTCCATCATGGGACGTCTCGGTAAGTCTCCGCTGTCGTTTGCACGAACGTATACTGACGATCGCAGTGTCTTGACGCTACGAAGCGACTGTATCACAACTTCAAATCCCAGCATATTCGCGTCAAGGTCCTTCTGTGCCTGCCCATCAGTGACACTCGCTCGCATGAGCTTCGCCGTCGTCTTGCCACAGCTTTTCTCTTCGACGACCCGTCGCTTGGCGGGGAAAATCCTGAGGTCAGCGTCACCTTGAGAAAGATCATCACTCGTCTAGATGGACCAGACTTTGTTATCAATGCCCTCACCAAAACAGACTGGGAGGAGCTCAAAGCAAACGTCCTGTTGCTGGACATGGCCATTGATGACGGATCTAGGTCTTGGGCTGCGGCAGGGGGCCTGGTTGATGAGAAGCAGTTTAACGCCGAGGTTGATCAACTCGCTGATAAGCTCAGGGAGACATGGAGACGCATCAATGACTCGGGCATGAAGATTGCCCGCACTGATGCCAAGAGCGTCCTCGACTGGGTCGGGCAAAGAATACAGCACCAGGTCCGGACAAAGGCCAAACCCAAAAAGAACATGTTTGATGATTTCTTCAAAGAACCCAAGCCGGATCCTGGTCTGCCCAAGCAACAGGACTATATGAGAAACTTCCTAGGCAAACCAATTGGCTGAAACGGGGAGGTTCATATGGGTCCTGGAACAGCAGAGAGCGGTAGTGATGATTTATGATACAGCCTCTACGCTACCAAACAAGCACGGCCCGAATGAAATGATGCGATATCCGATCACGAAATAGCCTGCGACAACCCCTCTTACCAATGATGCGTGAAAATTGATCAACGTTCAAGTCCAGGGTAGCAGGATGCAGGTCTAATCGACAAATTTGCGGTTCTCGTTCTTGCCAAACAGCGCCTCACGCACGGCCGGTGCCGCCGAGGTCTTGAGGAGCTCCAGACGGGCCTCAAAGGTGTTGTTGATGTCGATCTTTCCGTCGCCGCCCACGATCCATACGCCACCAGCGCTGCATAATGTTAGTCGTCTGCTCGTACTCGGGAATTGGGTAGAAGGAACGAGACTCACGATCCTTCGGGAAGAGGCTGCTGCTCATTGATGGTGCCCTTAGTGTCCTTGCCCACCTTCTTCTTGTACTCTTGCTCGGCTTCGGTGATAGCCTTCTTGACGACGTCGTAGTCCTGCTTGCGTGCGCGGATCTGCAGCTCCGACTCGTTAAGGGTGTAGAACCCCTCGAGGATCAACCCCTTGAGCGCCTTCTGGTACTTGCCCTTGTCCTTGGCGCCCTCGTTGAGCTTCTTCTGGGCGTCCTCAAAGATGTTGTCGAGGAGTTCCTGGCGGGCGGACAGGACCTTGAGACGCGTCTTGTTGGAGACGGTGGAGCGGGTAATTTGCTGCGACATGGTGGCCTGCTTGAACTTCTTCTCGTATTGGCTGTCGATGGCGTCGGTCTCCTGGCGGACGAGCTTGGACTTTTCAATCTCAAACTCCTCGTTGGCCTTGATCTCAATCTCGCGGGCCTTCTCCATCGCCTCCTGCTTGATGAACGCCGTCATCTTGCGGAGCTCATTGTCGACCTATGCAAAGCGGGTAAGCGACTGCGCATCCTCAATTCGGGATTTGACTGTTGTCATCGGTGGCCGGGCGGAGAGGCATTGCGTACCTGCTGGTCGGACAAGGCGTGTTGCGACATGATGGTCGGACGTTGTGTCTGAAAGTACTAGACTAAAGTGAAAAGTACAGTTGGGCCGGCTCGTTGGTGGGATGGGGCTGCTGTGGTGGTAGGACTCTCAGTAGGCAACGTGAAGTCTATGGCGATGGACTGTAGCGCTCGAGCTGATGACGATGGAGGCCGACTGGAGCTGTCGTCCCTCCAGCCACGGCGGCTCATGCGCCTAAGCCACAATTGACCCCGACCAGCCCCATTTTCACCAGCCACCGTGACTTCGGATCAGGACCTCCTATCTTATCACCTGATACCACGTACATACCGCACCGCCACATGCTGCATGCATGCATACCCAGGGTCACGTTGGACAAGGAGCGCGAGACCTCTGCGTTGACGAACTTGGCACAGCTACGCGAGCTCGGCTTTCACGAAATCTTCCACGTACGTACAGTACTGCCATTAGCGACTCATATGCTAGTCTGCATCTTCAGTCTCCAGTCTCCATCATACGCGCCAAAGATCCGCGGCGGTCTCCACACAAGCTGTGACGTCGAGCTGTCCACTTGGATCGAAGCTGTTCTCTCGGTTGGCCACTCGAACTTCGACCTCTATAACCGATAGACCCCTTGCGACAGACAACCTAATGCAATATTCGAAGACATCATTTGCACTTTTCGTCGCCAGATGACCACAAGTCCGGAATCAGCGCAATGGGCGACCTCTTGGGCGGTCTCTCGCCGGCCGGAGGCATAGCCGTACGTGACCTATCGAGACGGCATGAGGGCGCGCTGAAGCTTCCACCTGCATCTTGACTGACACTCGCATGCAGCTAGGTATCATTGTCGGCATTCTTTCCACGAGCGTGCAGAGCGTGGGTCTCACACTTCAACGAAAGTCGCACATTCTCGAAGACGAAAAGGTGCCACACGATGTGCGACGGCCGCCGTATCGAAGGCGGCGGTGGCAGGTCGGCATGGGCATGTTCCTCGTCGCCAACATCCTCGGCAGCTCCATACAGATATCGACGCTCCCACTCCCCGTCCTCTCCACGCTGCAAGCCGCGGGCTTGGTGTTCAATTCCATATGCGCAACCATCATACTGCACGAGCCCTTCACCCGATGGTCCTTGTACGGCACGACACTCGTAACCGCTGGCGCTGTCCTCATTGCTATCTTTGGCGCCATACCGTCACCCGCGCACGATCTTCGAGAGTTGTTGACTCTTCTGGGCCGACGACCTTTTGTAATATGGATGGTCCTGCAAGGACTCTTTGTGGTGGCCATCGCAGTGGTGATGGATGTTGTCAACGCAGTCTCCAACCTTTCGCATGATGCCAGGTTCCGTCTCGTGCGCGGTATAGTGTACGGTGTCATCAGTGGCATGCTGTCAGCGCATGCGCTCCTCTTTGCCAAGTCGGCCGTGGAGTTGATAATCAAGACGGCGAGCGGCAAGAACCAGTTCACGCAATGGCAGTCATGGATGATTGTCCTTGCGTTGGTGGCTTTGGCGCTGTGCCAGCTGTACTACCTACATCGGGGGCTGAAGCTTGTTTCAACGTCCGTGCTGTACCCTTTGGTGTTCTGCGTCTACAATATCATTGCGATCCTGGACGGCTTGATCTACTTCAATCAGACCAGCTTGATTTCACCGCTTCGGGCTTGCCTGATCACGCTTGGGACAGTGATCCTGCTTGCTGGCGTGCTTGCTCTATCGTGGCGGCTGAGCGAGGAACAGCATGCGCCCGCTGTTGCCCAGTCTTCACTGGCGCCCGGTCTTGGGCTCATCGAGGATACGGATGGTGAAGAAGACTCACTTCTTGGATCTGGTTCTGCAGTGGACGACACTGAGTCTGGCTCAGGATATCAGACCTTCCCTACGATCAACGGAGATACAACACCGCTGACCCCTACCCGTAAGAAGGGCTTCAGGTGGGCTGAGCAAGCGGAAATTTGGGGCGAGTTGGAGGATCAGGATGAACCAACTACTCCAGTCAGTCGCTTGCGCTCGAGTACGCTGCCAGGTCGATCCGAGTCATCGCCGCTTCTGTCAACATATCAGAGACGGTCAGTGAGTGGCGCGGCTGTACCCCCGGCGGCGGTGTCCGACAGCTCGGGCGGGCCCACGACACGTGTGGGTCGTCGTCGGCGAAAGAGCACCGGCTTTCCAGGCCTGGTGGCCCGCAGGAATTCAAAGAAAAGGAACGACTCAATATCCGAGTCCCTTGGCAATATACTCTCGTTCAAGTGGTGGAAGGAAAGAGGAAGGCCGACGTCCACAGCGTCACTTCCCGCAGCAGCCGCGGGCCCGTCTGGTCCCACGACGTATCGAGACGATGCTGATGAGGACGAGCATCAAGGCGGCGCGCCAGCCGACAGAAGACCTAATGACTCCGCTGTATGATTACTTTGCAGAATTTCCTAGAGTTGGCGAGGCGATTCAGGCGTACAATAGACACACATAGGCATTGGATAGCCACTCGCTGGGCGCGACACAGTGTATTTGGGAAAAGACTACCATTTTATACCCATGTTCTCGCAATGCGATGTCAGGAGATTGCCCTCTTACTCTGTCACGGAGAACGCTCGCTGAAGATCCTATTCTACCACGATGCGCCTTTGCTATCAAGTCGGCGATACCACTGCTTGTCCTTGCGGTCTTTCGAGAGGGCGGCCGTTGCCAAGACCGAGACGGTATCGAGGCCTATAGATGTGAGTTGAGGAGCCCTCAGTTCTGGGCATCAACCTACCGACAACGCCAAACACAGCTGTGAAGAACTTGTCCAGAAACGTATTAGCAAAGCTGGAGACCGCAGCTTGACAGCCACGCAACAATGCAGCCGCCGCTGGACTGGGACACACGGGGTCGGTGACGAAAGCGGGCGTCGTGCTGTTGATGTATCCGCAACATTGGAACTGGTCATACCCATCAGTTTTTGAATCCTTTGTCTGTTCGGTAGGTGTATACTCACATCCGTCTGAATGAGCGATTGCAAGTCGGGGTCGAGCTCTTCATACACACTCTGGAAACCCTCGCCAATTTTCAGCGTCATGATCCAGAGATACACTCCCAGGCACATGGTGAACAGCCCGCACACAGTGACCATGTACCCGTAGAGCTTGAGCCATCCTCTGGTCGATTGCATCAGGAGGCCCGGGAGGGAGAAGACCGACGCGATCAGGATAAAGACGCCATTTGCGATGCCAGCATCGAGAGGGAGTCGAACGAAAATGAGGTTGCACAGGACCGAAGGACCGTCTGTCATGGGACGATTGGCCTGCGAGCGGATCACGAGGGATGCCACGAGGATGAGCACCCCACTGGCCATGACGAGGACATTGACCAGTGCCGCGGTGAGGAGAATTTTGTTCGCCATGGTGTTGGACTTGACGACCAGCGTCGAGACGGACTTCCTCCTAACGGCAAGACGGAAACACGAGGCTCTCGATCACAGATCCGAGACGTGGTGTTGAGTTTTGACAGTCTTGCGTGGGAGTTCAGGACTCGAATCGAGACTGAGAGGCGAAGTGATTGCTTGCAAGTCCATTCTGATTATCATGGACGTTTTGCTACCACGCAATCGACACATTACGCCGACCGTTTCAAGGGTTGAAAGCTGAGGCAGATGTTGTTCGTGATGTTGCTCTCGGCCAATCATGGTCCTGTATTCGACGCAACATCTCCTGTTTCGGCTGTCACAGCCAAGACTTTTTGAATAAGCTTCACAAACCCTGACATGGCTTTGTGCAATTGACGCCTTGGCACGCATATTAAAGGCGGGAGTCGCTCTCGAATGAATTATTTGTTTCGGATTTCAGTCGATTTCAACACATCGACCAATTCCTCATAGATAGATATGCATTATTCAAAACAATCTAAATCAGATGGGTATTTGGTTCATGTTGCAGTCTCCTTCGTGCCATTCTATGCAATAACCACTAGTGCGGGTGTTTCCAAGGAAAGTAGAGAACGATCTTTGGTGAAATGAATTTTATTTGAAGCATACCAAGTAGATTTCAGTAGACTTCAGTAGACTCGTGCGGGCCGCATGACGGGTCGTAACAGTACTCTCATTTATTTCCATTTTCTATAAGCCTTTAGAGAAGCTCTAAAGAATAGGCACCAGTCGCAAATATGCCTCGTTATCCACAAGCGAACTATTATCCGTTGCGAGGCTTAGACGCACAGCAGCCAGAATCGCACGGTAGATGAGTAGGTTGTCCAACGGGTACTGCTCCGCATCTGCAGTCCATATCTGTTCAAACTTGCGAAGCTCACGGACCAGCAAGTCGAATACTTCCTGCTCCAGCGGGTCTCCCCTGCACGGACCCAGAATATCGTCCGCCGCACCGTAGAGGCTCTCCTGCACCAGACCCTTTGCACGTGAGGGGAACCAGTCACAGAACCTGGTCGTGTCGTCAAGGAGACGCTCGACGTTCGACTTCACCTCTGGCGTAATGAACCGCAACTCGGCCGGATCGACAGGACCACGCCTCGTTGTCGTCGATATCTTCAGCCATGGACACCGATTCCGGAAGCGCATGTCGGTCGGAGACACCTTCCAGCAGGCTGCCGCGGTGCAGCTGAGCGCGAGCCACCTGCACGCCACCCGTGTTCCTGAAGTGCGAGATGAATATTCGTCGATGCCAAGCCACCTATCGATCCTGTCAAGCTCTTTTTGCACAAGTGTAGTTCTGTCCCTCGTCAATTCCCATAATGGTTCCTGCCAGCCTCTTATCTTGATGTATTTGCGACACAAGGCGAATACATCTGGATCGGAAAAGAAGATATCGCCTTCTCGTGGGGTGTTCTGCTCATCCTCGCTACCCGGACGATCCAAAGGCTTCACCATCAGGCGCAACAAGTGCGGCGGCGCGTCAGGGTTGGCGCATTGCGCAGGATCCGTCTGCCCCAGAGACCACAGACGACTGAGCGAAATCAACCCCAGCAGTCTCGTGCCAATCTCCATTGTCCGAATCGGGAATAGCTTTGGCGTGAGATGGTTTGTGGTCGAGGCCCCAAGGAGGTGTAATCCGCCCTGGAACACGTCCATGCTGATCAACGCGGACGCCTCTGAAAAGGACACGGGCATGCTGCACCACCGCGGCCATGGGACGTCCGAGCTGGGGGAGCACTCGAGCTTCGTCAAGCCTGCATCTCTATGCGACCTCTGAATCGCCCTGCTGAGTCGATCCAGGGCATGCGCTCTCCAGTACCGACCTCGATGCTGTATCTCGGAGAGTGGGCGCGAGCAGTGCGCTTTCATGAGGATGACCTGGTTGCCAATCAAGCTGTGTTGGGGGATGTACCCGTTGGTTAGTAAGATGGCCGTCTGCGCCGTTTCATCTTGGTAGAAATGCATCGATTGTACATCTGCCGTCCGCCGTTGGAGACGTAGTCTCAAGAGAGGCTGTCCCGAGCGCTCCTCGGGTGTTTTTACGCGGCTGCCACGTGTCTTCAGCGCCCCATACGTCTGCACGACGCCGTAGGTGCCTAGGAGGGGATGCTGTCGGAAGTTGAGGTCAAAGGTCTCGCTGTGCATCGAGGGCGGCCCGCCTCCCTCCTGTGCTCCTATTCGCAGCCGGTGCCCCTCGGCTCCCATCATGGCGCACAGGGTGTACATGTCCCGGACGGAAGCGTACGCGGGCGCAGAAGTCAGGTCCGAAGGCATGTAATCTGGCCCTGAGACCTTCATGTCAAAGTAGTGCGGGTGGTCCAGGTCGAGGATTGTCAGGAAGGCAAGCCAGGTGGCTGGGTAGTATTCGTATGCTTTTTTCTGGACCAAGCTGATCCTCTCTTGATTCCCATCGGACGTGCTTCCACTGACATTGAAGTCCTCGCCCTGTTGTTGCCCCTGCTGCCTCCTAGTATGTGTTAATGCATCAAAGACCAATTTGCCGCAGTCCAGGATCGGGGTGTAGGCCTCGGATCGAAAGCGCAGCTCCGACATGTCCCAGCGGTGCGTCGAGTACTGCGCCCAGGAGCCGATCGCATACTCGCTGCACTTGTGCCTCCCGGGACCCAATGTGAGGAATCCCTGGACGATGGTGAGGCCGGCGAACAAGAGGGCGACCATGCCGATGATGGCTGTCACGGCGAAGCTCAAGGGGTCCCAGTTGAACTCCTCGTTGCCCTGTCTGACCTCGGCGACGATGCGGTCTGCGGCCTGCACAAGACATTCTGTGACGTTGAGGAAGCCGCAATCGAGCGACATGGCCGAAGACTTTCAACATGAAGTTGGGGCGAGGGTTGATGTTTGTTTGACAGATGGGAAAGGGCGCAGGAAATCATATGGATCAAGATATCCTAGTGCGGAGAACCTGCATGGTGTTATGTACCATGCAGCTGGTTCTCAGCTGACTGTCGACTACTGCCTTGGTCTACGAAGCGGCTGAATGGCGTGATGCGTTGCCAAGTTGTCTCGCAGCTGCGACTCGCAAGGCGAATTGATATGCCCCGTTTCTAGGCTAGAGTCGCTGGAGATGCGGACGGCTGGCTCAGCCTCCACCGCAGCTCGTCTGGTAGGGGATTTCCGCCGCCTAGATATATGTAGTATGCATATAACGCAGATTCTGTAGAGGCAGGTCCCATAAAATAGACATTGTTCAAAGAGAGGACGCGCCGGCAGCAATTGAATCCAGAGTCCAGGTCCAGTGTGTGTGCACGTGGTCGTGAGTCGTGACGGTCGGTGATGATCTGCCTAATGCACGCCACTTTGACAGCCAAGGCCTGAACGATTGGGTTTACACTCGCCTACTTGAGCTAGCAAGGGGCTGCCATGCAAGACAAGACCAGGCGTTCAATCAATCAATGCGGTCCCCCACTTCGTTGCAGCGAAATCCAATTGAGGCTTGATCTAATGCTAGACCATGCTGAGGCTGAACCGGGTAGTACGGGAAGCGGAATAAGCAAAGCCTCAACGCAGCCTCGAGATTTGAAGTAAGGTCAACGGAGGATACCATATCGCGGTATAAAACCATGCCTCCTGGCAGACGAAGGAGTCATGCGCAGTGTCTGGATTCTAACATACACGCTCCACCGTTGACGTCTCAAGAATTCCACCTTGGAGCCGTCGATACAGGACCCTGGTACCATCAGTCTGAGTGTATTACTATGAAATTAGACATGAAGTTCTCTACTATTTCCGGCCTGTCGGCGCTCGCGCTCACCTCTATGCCTCCTGCAGTGTTGGCGCAGAGTCGCGAGTTATGCTTTACCGAAAGTACGTGCCTTCTTCTCACTCTGCATAGCAGCGACTGATTTGATCCCATGAGCCCTTGTGCTAACCCTCCCTGTCCCATAGCGCGCGATAGATACCCCTACGCCGTGACGGAATGGTACTGCGGCCCCGGCCGCACTTGCTGCAGCGTCCCCGACGACTCTGATGATGGCGAGCTGCAATGGGGCTGTATTGACACCGACGAGACCTGCTCCAGGGACACGTGGCTCACCAGCGAGGGGATGGGATTCGAGATTACAGATGACGGTTACGGAGACGACGACGACGATAATGACAGTGGTGCTCGTGGGTCTGCAGCGTCGTTGGCGGCCGTGGTAGGTGGTGTCGCTGTGTATTGGGCTGCGCTGGGCATGTGAAGTAGATACTCCTTGTCCTCATTAGTGTGATAGAGAGCCTTTCTGAGAGGGTCACGAGCTCACTATAATTACTTAGTACAGCAGAGGCGTTGGACGCTGCTCCATCTCTGCGTAGGCAATCATGCCGTACGTGTCATCCATCTCCACGGCCTCCCGATCTCCCATGCTCGACTGGATAACACCATAGCACCAGCGACCTCCCATGCTCCGCAGCGCGACCTTCCTCTCCCGCTCCGTTATCACGGCCGTGTCCTCCATTTTCTCTGTCCATCTCGACTCGGCCACGTACCATATCTCGCCCGCAATGCTGCGCGGATCCACAGGGAACGTCGGCCAACTGATAAACATACTGGCGATGAGAACGGCCGCCATGAGAACCAAGACACCAGCGCTGGTGCGTGCGCATACCACGTGCATATCCTGAGTCTGCGTGAGGTCGTATGGGACGTTGGCGAAGAGCATAGGCAGAAAGTCGGATAGGACAGCCATACACGAAACGCCGAAAAGGAGAGGATCGCGATGCCGTAACCCAGCGTAAATGCCGGTCACGGTATACGTCGGCTTCTTTGCCAGGACGGAGCGTGTCGCGCCTTGCGGTTTGTTTGCCATGCGACGATATGGTGCGAGAATCGCGACACCTATAGCAGAATGTGTCAGTATTCCCCCTTTCCTAGTCTTCACTTCAAGAAAAAGACTCACTATCGAATATGCATTCCTAACAAAGGATCATGATAATACCAAGGGTGGAAGATACAAACCGCACACCAAACCTTTCTTCCTCCAAGAATCGTTCAAGCTTGCGGGAGAGGGCAAATCTAAGATGATAGTATAATATGAACGACGTGAGAGCTATAAGGTAAATTAGGAACAAAAGGCGCCACCAGATTGTGAGCGCCGCAAACGTCGAAGGCGCTCTCTTGTGCGTCTGGATCTGGCTGTACGGGCTGCCGCCGATAGGAGGATACCGAGTGCTCTCCGAGTGACCCGTTTCACTCATCATGGCATCGTGTTCTTTAGGCTTTGACCTATATAGACTGCGCTGCTCTTGGTTATCGCAGACAATAATACCGTACTCCTCGCGGGGTCCGTTGCGAAACCAGCCAAGACGAAAGTGCATCTCGGACGTGGCCGCCTTAATGGCCGTATAGTCTAACGCGACGAGCGATCGTATCTCTGGATTCCGGCACAGACTTGCGGCACCAGTAAGACACCAGGGGTCCGCAAAGACACCCGTCTTCCAGGATCGGGAGACAATGCAAAGCAGAGCGAGTAGCAGTGCCACAACAGTGCCCATTAGACCGAGAAGAACGTACGACTCCAAGGGTGACACGCCGAGACCAAGGGCACAGCCGACTGCAGATTTCGATTTACATGAGCCGTGGAGCTTCAAGCCGATCGCCTCACACGCCACGGGTGCCAAGGCTGTCGATAGCCAGACGGCGAGGGTGGACAGGAGAGGGACGGGGTGGCCCTTGGATACCATACCAAACGGCCGCCAAAAGCCCTTCCAGCCCTCGAAATGCAAGGTCAGCGAGTCTCTGCCGGACGCGCCACGAGGGTGGGACAGAGTGGCAAACGGCTGATACAACTTGGCGGTCATGTCGACGGCCCGCACGGCCAGGGCGAGAATGACAGCCACGAGAGGCGGGAGGAACTTGCCCATGAACACTTCGGCCGGTCGGAGATTATATTCCTTACTCTCTACAATGATGAGCGGATTAGTGTCTCCCGTCGGCATCGAGACCACGGTGATGACGGCCTTGGTGGGAGGAACCGATGATATGCGTGTGATGGGAGCCAGAAACGTCGTCGAGGTGGTCGGTAGTCCATCAAGACCGACGGTGACCTCGATGATGGGCGGTGGTGTCTCCACGGACGTCACGACTATGCCCTCAATCTCGCTCGTAAGGGTCCTGGTCTTAGAGTTCTGTATCTTCATCCTATTTCGGTCGACCGTGAATGTCGAGAAGATGGTTGTCTTGCCCAGCTCGATATATTCCTTGCCGGGCTTGGTGGTCGTGACCACAACGTCGGTTGTGACTGATCCGCCGCCCTGTATCGTCATAACGACCTCCGTTGTCTTTTTTGGAACTGTGACGACATTAGCCGATCCAGCAGGTGGCGCGGCCGCTGTTTCGCCAGATGGCAATGGTGCAGGCGTTGTAGGTGGCAGTGTGATGACTGATTCAGGGATGGTCTGGGTCGAGGTGATGACAGTGTCGCTGGTAATGAAGCTGACGGTGGTTGTGGTGAATGTCTCGGTGATGGGCGGTCCCGTTAAAGTGATGTTGATAGGCACCTCCACCAACGCTGTTGTCAGCGTGCCCTCCTCCGCTTCGGTCGATGGGCCACCGGTGGCGCTGCTCTCGTCCATGTCATCTGTCTCCCCGGCAGGTTCGTCTCCTTGCGTTGGTTCGTTCTGCCGCTCCTCCAGGGCTTGCTGAACCATTCGCGTTTCGATCTTTGCTGTGGTATCCAATCCTTGGAGCGCAAGGTTGGCCCAGACAACAACTGCGATCAGTGCGACAAGGACGGCGATCAAGCTGCCGAGGTACCACCATCGTAGCGATGCAGGCCGATAGTCTGCCTTGCGTTTTCCGCTCTTGCTCGCGACGGAGGCTCTCCGGACTCCCTCGTCCTCGAACAGCTGGGCGACATTGATCGGCGCTGTCTTTATGTTCAAGGGATCGGCCGCATTACTATGTGGCTCGGGGGTGGTTGGCCAAGCTGCCTCATACTGTTGCGCAGAGTACCGCTGCATTTTACCCGTTGAGCTCGGCTAGAGAGTGACCTGTTTGCGGTCTGGTGAGAACAGTGTATCATGTGAAGTCAGGCTCCGGCAGGATTTGTAGCGAAACACACATTCTAGTCAAGCGGGCTGGCGCGGTGCTTCTGAGGATCTCCTGTGTCTAAATAGTAGTCGCCCGCACGATTCCTAGAACGCCTTATCGTCCTAATTGTTGTGACATGTCCTGCCATTGGAGGCGTTGGGCGAAACCAGGTATGGAGGCGCAAATAAGCGTTTCGCTTGGACTCAGCTCAATGGCGCAAATGTCCACAACTGGCAAGGCATAGGTAATCTGAGGCTGCGAAAGGCTTAGCCAGCTGAAAACTGTCTCTGTGTGAGCCGCAAGCATGGTCATTTTGGCCGCCGGGCATTTTGGAGGCTAAGTGACCTAGAAGTCTTTCCATCGGGTTCGAGGCCCTTCGACACACGGTACATCCAGCCCCCGGACGCCTCATGTAGTTTGATTGGAGTGATACCTGTTGGATAGCGTGTGGATAATGTGTGGCTGGTGTGGTGTGGATCTATGAAGGATTTTGTAAGGGGCTTACAGCTTGAGGGATTTTGTGGGACACTCGATCAGAACATCAATCAATACAACACAATCTGGCCTTGTGACAGTTATGAGCCCGGTATCGCTTCCGCCGTCACAAGTGCATCAACTGAAGCTATTCAAGCTACCAGATCACTATCTGCACACTGCATTCTTGGTGTTTCTAACGCAACACCCACACGATGGCCACCGACCGCGCGACCGAGGCAGGAAGGGCTATAGTTGTCCTAACGGGCCCTGAGAATTGGGACGACTGGATTACTATCCTACGAAACAAGCTAGATCCCGATACCTGGCGTCTTATCCGACCGATCGAGCCAGAAGGAGAGGTTCTTAGCAAGCCGATCAGACCAACGGCCTCGGACGCGTACGAGATCCTCCACAAGAGCTACGAACAAGACCTTCGAGACTTCAAAAGAGCAGAATGTGACGTTCGGGTCTAGACTAGCTACCGGGTAGATAGAATAGAAGTCGGGTTATGAACTGAGTACACTAGGATATCGTTGACTTAAGCGGTCGGGTTATAGTCTATATGCGAGATAGTAGATCTTACGTAGATAATTATATTAATAGCTAAGGAGCTAGTAGAGACTAACTATAGTAAGGCTAGGCTTCCTATATACTAAGGTAATCACGGAGTGATTACGGTTAAATAAAAGTAATCAAAGGTAATTAAATATAATTAATCACCGTGGTCGTGATATTAAGAGTTAGTGATTAGTTGTAACACCGTGGCCGAAGGAAGTCAGCGGTGCAGTCACAAGGAATCACGGAGGCCTCGGATGCTATGGCGTACCGCCATGTCAGCATCAATGATGCGTACCCGATTCATTAGTATTACACCTAACCTCCGGATCTTCCGAGCGCTTTAGGTATAATATACTTACTTCTACCTGTAGAGGGAGAAGTAAGTTTGAGTTTTGTGAATATACTACCTATACCTTCTCTCCCTACCTAATCTATCCTACTATTGTTATAATTTCTTAAACTTCTTAATAAAGATTACCTGGGGAGAGAATGTCAAACTCTTTAGATAGCGAAGGCGAGGAACTCGCTCAAGAGTTCCTCCCTCCCGAAGCTTCCGAAAATTCTATATCTAACGGGCCCGAATCGCCGTTATAATAAGAACCAGTATAGGAACAAGAGCAGGATCTACAGAGTGAACCTGCAGAAGCAGAAGCCTAAGTTCCGGATCATCCGGAATATTTCCCGGATTCCTAAGTATAACTAAATACTCTAGCATTATCTTCTATACTAGACTTAAGTCTAGGGGGTCGATTATAGGATCTCCGAGCATAGCAAGAGCGACTCTAGGAGGAGAATCAGCTACGAAAAGATATTATAAAGCTCAAACAAGAACAGATACGCCTCCGACAAGCCTATATAACACTATAGTCATAGGGATACTTTAGAGGAGCAGCAAATATCAAAGCTTTAGATAAGGAAGTAAAGATTGCTAATTTTATATAACTTACTCTCTCTTCGTCCTTCAAAGCCCGAGATGATTGGTTACTGGATTTACGACGGGCTTTCCGTGGAGCAAAGACGCGGTATAGCACCGATAAAAACAAGATCCTGAAAGCTCTCGATAAAATACACCAGACGTGTCGAACCCGCTAGGAAAGGCACGTGGGAGAATAACGAACCGAAGCTAACAAGGAAGCGCTATAGGGAAACTAGCCTGCCTTCGAGGAGTAGACTTTAAGTCTTATAAAAGACGCGGTAAATCGCAAGCCATTATTAATAGCATAACTTGAGAGTGCCTAGCAACGAGACACACAATCCCCCCGAGAGTTCTATGTCTACCTCGATTCGCTAGAGCAACACTTCGAACAGAAGCCTGAAGTAGACCGGGCTTTCTATTACTTTGTGAAGCTACAGCCTGAATTACGCAATCATATTTATATACAGGGAAGCAAGTTACCTACTATCCGCGAAGATATTGTCGCTATCGCTAAACGCGTATAGGACACATTTGCGGCACAAAGGCGGAAGAGACCTATAGCGCCCACGACTAACGCCCGCGCGCCACCTGTAAAGCGGCAGAAGCCTAACTAGAATACGGGGCGGAGGCCAATCGTACCCGACGCGGGGGGTCCGCGGGCCCTAAGTATAAGTGGTTCCACTAAACCACCCCGCCAAAATAGTAACCCAGTTGTCAAGGGCAAGCCATTGCAGTGCTTTGAGTGCCAGAGTACTAAGCACCTCGCAAACGCATGTCCCAATAAGCCAAGGATAGGCAGGCTAGGAAAAGCCAGCCGACCCAGGAGGGGCCAGCCCGGGTCGGAAGGGCAGGCACACAAGTAAGAACAGCCCGAAGTATATAGGCCACGGTCACGCTTTATAGGGAACGTGATAAGGAAACGCGAGCTGAGCTCGATACCAATGCCGCTTGCGATATCATCAGTTCCGCCTACGCACGAGAGAAGAAACTCCAACCGTCGCCACTAATATCCCCGCTGTTGTATAATACAGTATGTCGGGGTTTAGAACATAATAGCGTTTGGATCGTACCTCTCACTAGCACCGATGATCGTGGAATAACCCGTACCTTTACACGACACTACATAGGAATTCGACGCCTAGGAGCCGCCGATCAGGTATTCCCTATACTCCTTGGAATACCGGCACTAGAAGACGAGCGGATATATATTGATTGCCTCCGGAAACAGTGGTGGTTCGAGTATGATTTTCAGTAAATCCCTATAATCCCACAAGGGACGGTAAAGAAGAATCGCCGCCAGGGCGCACGAATTTACGTAGTTTACCCCGTGGAAGAGATATTACCTCTTCTAGGAGAAGAAGAATAAGAATCTAAAGCTTCTATACCACAAAAGGCTAAACAAGTCCCTATTAAGCTATATAACTTTTTAGACGTGTTCACGCTCGATAAAAAGACTATTCTCCCCCGATATCGAGCTTTAGATCACACTATTAACCTTATTAAAGGCGAATCACCTCCGTTTAGGCCAATATACCTATTATCGCCTAGGGAGCTTCGAGAACTAAAGGAATACTTATAAAAAGCTCTTACAGACGGTATTATTCAGTCTTCGAAAAGTCCTATAAGCGCCCCAATCCTCTTTATACTAAAGAAGGACGGAAGTCTACGCCTTTGCGTGGACTATAGGGGCTTGAATAAAGTCACTATAAAGAACCGATATCCGCTGCCACTAATCACAGAGATTATAGATCGAGTGGGGGGTTCTCGGTATTTTTCTAAGATTAATATTAAAGATACGTATTATCGTATCCGAATTAAAATAAGAGACGAATAGAAAACGGTATTCCGCACGCGGTACGGTTATTATAAATACCGTGTAATGCCTTTCGGTCTCACTAATACGCCTGTAACATTCTAAGAGTATATCTATAGTGCACTTAGATCTCTATTAGACACTGTATATATAGCATACTTAGATAATATCTTAATCTTTTCTAAAACCAAGGAAGAATACACGTAGCACCTACGATAAGTGCTCGAAAGGCTCTAGAAGGCTGAGCTCTTCGCTAAACTATCGAAGTATACCTTCTATAAGGAAGAGGTCGATTTTTTAGGATTCCTAGTTAATACCCAAGGAGTCGCTATAGACCTAAAGCGGGTCGAGATAATTATAACGTGGAAGGAACCCACGATATACCAAGAAGTTTAAGTCTTTATCGGGTTCTGTAATTTCTATCGCCGGTTTATTTACGGATTTTCTGGGATAGTGTAACTATTAATAGCCTTACTCAAAGGGAGCAAAGACAGCAAGAAGCCCGGTTAAGTGTATCTCGGGAGTAAGGAAACGACTACGTTTCGTACTCTTATCGACGCCTTTTAGAAAGCGCCTCTCCTTTAACACTATAACCCCATATGCAAACTTCGGGTTAAAACAGACGCGTCTAAGAAGGCTATAGTAGGGATCCTCTCCTAGTAAGATACTAAAGGAAAGTAGCATCTAATTGCCTTTTGGTCCCGAGGATTCCGGGGTCTAGAATTGAATTATAGTACTCCCGATCAAGAGATGATAGCTATCGTCGAGTCCTTTAAGCATTAGAGGCACTATATTAAAGGAGCTATACATATAATCGAGGTTCTAAGTGATCACCAGAACTTACAGAGCTTCATGAAGCAACCTAGACTACTAAGACGATAAGCCAGATGGTGTCTGTTCCTTACCCTATATAACTTTATGATCAAACATCGCACGGGGAAGTCGAATCCTACGGATGCACCGTTAAGGCGGCCCGAATATAACGGTGAATCGCCTAGGAATGACACGCTTATCCCTCCGTTAGAAGAACGCTTAGTCTAACGCATTAGAATAACGTTTACACGAGTGCAATAGATTCATGCATAAGATATCCACAGAGATATCTATACTCTTGATCTAGACAAGGGACTGGAAGAGTTAATCTACGAAGCCTAATAGAATTAGGA